GCTTTGGAAACCACAAACATTGCTCTGCAGGCAAGCCGCCTTTTCAGGCCCAGGTGCAAGCGCCCAACTTCAAAGAACAGGAAACTCGCACCTAGTTTGTTTGATTGATTGATTGATTGCATTTATATTGCACCTTTCAAGATACCCAAAGCGCTTTACAGTTCATTATTCAGTCACTCCACACTCAGTGGTGGTAAGCTACTATTGTAGCCACAGCTGCCCTGGGGCAGACTGACGGAAGCAAGGCTGCCAATCTGCTCCATCGGCCCCTCCGACCACCACCATCACTCACACACACACACACCACTTTCATACTAGGCAATGTGGGTGAAGTGTCTTGCCTAAGGACACAACGACGTTTTTTTCCACTGGCGCCCCACTGTGGCACCTGGAATTTCTAGTGGTCTCCCATCCAAGTACTACCCAGGCCCATCCTGCTGGCTTCCTGTGCACAAGTATATCATACAAGGTTACAAAAATGAAGTCAAATAAATCAAGTAAATCAATTAAATCAACAAGTCAGTTTAAATCAAAATAAAGCAAGTCATTCATATTAATATAAATCACAAAAAATGCCTCTATATGCTAAAATAATCATTTTACTGCATTATATAATTCACTAATGCTCTAAAAGCTGTTTATTTGAAGAGATAAAACATTCCTAATAATTTCAACTGAATATCAAAAACCTCTCCATGAAACTAGTGCCAAAACCTTCACTTTCTCTTCAGCCGATATGGGTGAGGCCAGCTGGGACAGGGGGGTTCACGTCAAAGACAGATTAGTTTAATGCCATACTGTGGACAATTTAAACCAGAGCATTAACATCTCGATGGAGACACACAGGTTGCACATTCTCTCCAGAAAATTTTCACAATATACTGATAAAGAATACTAAGTAGATAATAAGTAAATAAATATGAACAATTCAAAACATAAATAATTGCCATAAAACATAAAACTAACATTAAAAGAGAAGAGCGCAGAATAAAACCTTAATCACAGCACTACATTGAGCAGTATGACTTATTCTTAGTCATTTTCTAACTAGCCCATATTGCACCTGCTCATCACTGGGGTGGATTCCAGGTGATGGGGCTGACCTAGATGTTCTGCCAGCCCGCTCAGGTTCTCAGCATCAGTTGTCATCCGATCATTTGGACCACAGCCCGGCCGACATAATACACCCGCCACGATTTCACAGCGGCTCAATTTACCCCAGTCACATCTCATTCTGGGCCTGTCAGCAGCTTCCAGGCCCACTAACAAACTGCCTGCTTTCTCCTGCTCCTCTGGCTACATTTTACTTTCCCTTTTCTAACACATTTGGTGCAGTCATTTCAAGCGCACTCATTATTTTTTCTTCGCAGTCCGTTTTATGTACACTGTTGTTGACCTTTCCTTGCTTCCAGTCCCAACATCTGTCTCTCTTTATGTGTGAAGCTCTGCGTTTTGCATAAGAAAGATTTCAATTGGCAGTTTCAAATGTGTGGAGCTGTCAGTGGTTTCCTTGTTTGCACATTTCCACCTGTCCGCCATCATCTCCTGTTCACTCTATCTTTCCTGTAGCGTACCTTTATGCTACTGTAAAATCGATTACATATTCATGTTTATATTATAGTCAAGAGGAGTTTTAGCTTGCAGGCCACACTTAGCATTCATAACACAGTATGCAGTACAAGTGTCCTAAGGAAAACCTAGCTATTTCCGCAACTACATTCAGATATCTAGGGATGCACACAAAACGACAATGAAGCAATTAAGTGTTTAAAAGGACACTGCATCTCTCTTGCTCTCACTTCTACTCAGTATGCTGTTGTCACTTTGGAGTCCATTAACACTTAGCTAATGTCATTTTTAGTGCAAGTTATTTTACGCTAATGGGGATCCAGTTTTACAGGGGCATTTTAAGCATTATTTCACTGCAATTAAATGGTCATTTTGGCCAACTTTTTCTTTTGCTGCTTTTTCACACTAATAGGCCTAAACGTTCAGATGTGGAGAGCCAAATAATAAAATTCAGTTTGTTGGAAAATATAATTACCGTATAATATACCTATTTTGTTTTACTCTGTATCATGGACTACTGGTTACTAACATCTTTTAGTTAAAGGTCACATATTACACTATATTCTGATTTATATAATAATGCTGTTTCATAATCTCAAATGTACCTGAAGTTCCATTTTGTTTGATTCACACATGACAACACAATGTGGAACAGAGCATTTTGAGCTTTGCAGCTATGCATACAGACTAATAATAAAGGAGTACTTAGATCTGTGTGAACAAAACAAAACATGACTCCAGGTATGTTTTTGATGAGGTAACTTGTCTTGTCTTAAATATGTCTTATGTCTTAAAGCTGACAAGAGTCAATTTGGTGTAATATAGGACTTTTAAGGAAATATAAAACCATTTGATTATAAATAAATAAATAAATAAATAAATAAAATGCAAATTCATGTAATATTATAATGTGTCTTGATTGACCTCTTACTCCGGCAGTCAACTTTTTTTTTTTACCTACGGGAGATAAGAGCATATTCTATGTAAATTTATAAAATCAGATAATGGAGCAATTGACACAATGTGGCCAAAAACCCATTCTAGACACATTTAAACTGCAATAGTATCAATTATACGCTTATAATGGAAAAATGAATTGCTATTAGTGGACAATTTGCATATGTAATATTTTTTAAGTGTGTTGTGTACTTATGTAATTAGCTTGTTCGTTGTCTGTTTGTAGGAGCAGACTGAAGTGGGTGGCTATGTACTGTTTTTGCCAAAGAGATATAAAATCACACATCCATTAGTTTAAAGAGCCCACATTATGTCATTTTCTGATCTATGTTATAATGTTGTTTCCTCATCAAAAACAAAAACTGCTGCTTCATAACATCACAAGTTGGAACAGAGCATTTTGATACCATAATAAAGGGTTACTCAAACATGTGTGAATGGAACTACTCTGGGTATGTTTTTGAGGAGGTAACAACATTCTAACATGGCTTAAAGCTCACAAGAGTCAATTTTGTGTAATACAGGACCTTTAATAGAGCTATGCCATTATTCCAGTTAACCAGAATACTATATGAGATGCAAAGTGAAAGTGACGTGTCCCTACCAGTTTGTGTGCCGATCTTTTTCTGCTCACTTGATTTTGTCCACATTTGTTTTCCTTTTTGTGCAGCATGTAATTCATAGGTTTTTGCCTTCTCCTCAGGCTCCATGTCAAAGTCATTTTAGTATTAGATAAATGCGACAGAGCAGGCTGCAAGAGCAAGAAAATAACTGACGGTAACTCAAGGTCTGAAAACATAGTAAGAAGAATATTATGAATACAAAGAACTAGTGTTTAATTATAGCGTGTTTAGCCAGTCTCACAGTGGGCTTGGTAAGAGACGAAGGGTGACAAGTTAAAGAGCGTTTGTGGGTTATTGCCGCAGGGGAAGAGAACTCTGTGTTGTTCCTGCCAGTTACTGTAGCAGCAAGATAGAGCTGGCTTTCTTCACGGCGGTACCAGCCAGGCAATTGTAGCAGGAACCACTTCAAACTACAAAAGGTGTCATCTAAGTTTAGTAAGACGACTTGTTTTTTGACGTGCAAACTTTGGAAAAAGAAATAAGAAATATTCATAAATTCACAAATATTCACTCTGAAGGCAAAAGATGAGGTAATAAAATATCAGAGCAAAACATAGACCTTTAGGGGAAGAAGATAGTGTAGAAAAGATTATAACCTGGAGACACAAAGATTAAAAACATTTAAGCTGGGCTAAAAAAGATACATAATTTAAACTTTAAAAAGTTTTTGCTGTTTGATGACAAAATGTGCCAATAACTACTATTTCAGAATTCAGTCATATTAAATGTCTACTTTATTTTCTACTTGTACATACTCATGTATGTAAAGTTTCCAGAAGGTTTATTTAAATATTTTTTTAAAAATCTAAGTACAACTAAATGCTTACAGAACATTTTCAGATTTTTTGAATGTTAGTGAACTTTTGATCCATTTCTAACATAACTGAACAATAACTCATGTATTATTAGTAGTATAACTCCTGGCGCACTCCCATTAACAGTGTGAACCTATAACAAACATTACTGTTGTTTTTGAAGCTCAATTCTCTAGAAAGGTTTGCAGTGATTCTGAACCTTATCAGGTTTCAGTGAGTCCAGTTCTAAGATCCTGCTCCTCTGAAGAGTCATCATAAAACTAAGGTGATTGATTCTGTGGTGTTTCTGTTAAGTTTGTCGAAATTATAAATGGGGCTCATCTGTGACTAAGTGTGAATGAGTTTGAGTATAGGCCTTAACACTAGATGAGATAATGAACCTATCCACAGATAAACAAATGATTAGATAATATTGAACGTGAGCCCAAACCAGAGATGGGTGTTGCATTTACTCAGTAATATCTATTTGAGAAACATTTTAAACAAAATTATACTTTTACGAGTACTTTGCCAAAAGCATACTTTTACTCCTACTAGAGTCATATTTTTATTGATGTTAAAGTATTGTTATTTGAGTAAATTGGCTACTCTTCCCACTGTGAGTAAATCGACAAGGGATAAAAGCTTTATGTTAACACTATGAAATTATTTAAACATTTGTGTTTCTTACACCACTCCCTCAGATTATTTAAGTTTTTCTCATATTTTTGCTCATTCTTAGAAAATACCAGATTGTTTTGTCAATTTTGTCAATTAATTCAATTATTTAATTAAGTCAATTCACTTAAATTATAAATCAGATTTTCCTTCCCAACGGTTACATTTTATCTTACTGTTACTTGAGTAGTACCGTTCTCAAATACTTTTTAGTCTTACTTGAGTAATTGCTTCGACCACTACTTTTTTGCTCTTACTTGAGTAATATTCTGTTGAAGTTATATTACTCTTACTTGAGTACATGACTACTTTACCACCTCTGACCCAAACTAATCAATTATTACAATGCTATTAACTATTGTAACATTGTCTTTTGCAGGAGCTCTCCAGATTGACAACAGTGAGGAGACTGACCAAGGAAAGTACGAGTGCGTGGCTACCAACTCTCAGGGAGTGCGATACTCCTCTCCTGCTAACCTATATGTGCGAGGTAGGACGCGCGTACACACAAACACATGCTCACAACAAGCAAACAGAGAAACCTTCCCATTAGGGCCAACTACCTCTTTTCTATGTGCTTTTAACTGTAACTTAATATTACTAACCCATTCATTGTCTACAGTATATGTTGACTGTCCAACTTAAACCCTGGTGCTATTAAGACAATTCTTAAATAGTAATGATAATCAAATTGATCTACATGTTGGACACGCACCTTGGTTTAACTGCATGGAAGCATCACTGTTTACTAAAATGGTTTCTGTACAAGAGGCAGACTCGTTGGGCACTCTAAACATTAATTAGCTTAATGTTAAATTCGTATGAGTACGAGTATTAGTATTAGTTGGTTTAGTACTAGCTATAGACTTTCTATGTCCACATTTAAAGTATGTATGAAGAAGTTGTCTGGAGATGAGTGAGGTGCCCATGGGTGTGAGAGAGGGGTGTGTGGCTTTGCGCTGGCCGTTTTTATTCTCTGTGTTTCCTCGTTCTCTCTTTTCCTTCACGTCATTGTGTTCCGCATCAACCCCCCTCCATCTCTCAGAGCTTCGAGAAGGTTGGTGCGCTCTTTCTTTTCTTTTGTTACTCCTTTGTTTCAGAAAGATTCACTTACTCAATCAGAAAGAACCCATGAAGATAAGTGGACTAGATTTGAAGTCACATGGCTCCAATATGAAGACAGCTGAAATGTACAATAGAGTGGTCTGCCTACGCAGCAGATTGCATTGACTGCATTGTGAGGCCTTGTGTGCAGAACCCTTGGTATTGCCTTCACTCCCCGATCAATGTTTTCTGCATGGTATGATCTTGTTGTCATGGAAACCCAGGAATTGGAAGATTAAAAAGCGATGTTTGCATGGAAGGAGTGAGAGAGAAAGAGAGAGGAGCACCGCTGCATGTGTGTGTGGAGTTATTGACACAAGTGCATGGCACACTGGTGTTTGGGCCTTTTGATATGCTCGCTATGTGGTATTGAACGCGCTGTCTCTTGTCTTGTCTTGCTACTGACTTCTTTTTAATGCTTTTTGTGTCATCACATGAGACGTTATCTCCCAGCTCCCATGTAACTGCATTGACTTCAATTTTACACTTGTTGAGTCACGATCACACCCGCCATGTTTGTACACGCCTGCTGTTGTGACATTGTATGTGCTTCACTGATATGAGCACACCGTCCGTGTGACATCACATTACACAGATGTATGCCCTCAATAATCGGTATACATTTAGTTGTTGCTGAATGCCAAGTCTACAATGTTTCATATTTCTTAGTATTTCCTATCTCTTCCAAACAGTCCTATATAGCTGTATTGTCTGACATTTAAAATTAATCATATCCATGCGCGTTTCGATACCGAGGGAGATATTAATGATTCCTTCTTATTACAGTGCTTAATGAAAGCAGTGTCCTTGAGACAGACAGGGCGGAGCTGCGTAAATGTCAGTGAGGGACCTGTGTGCTTAGATACTCGGTAATCCTCTGCACTGTGCCAAGGCCTCGCTCATCTACAGCCTCAGACTCCCCGTAGAGGAGGCCATTCGCTCTAGGTCTTCTAATAATGAAGGAAGCTCCTGTTCTGTGCTCCTCCATAGGAAATAGAGGGAATGATGCAGCTTGGTACAATTAACTCTAAGCTAGTGGCTCTGTGAGTACGTGCAGGATTAGAGCTTGTTATGAGCTCACTTAATTGTAAAGTGCTAAGTTCTGGCAGTGGCTTTGTCTGGCTTTGTGTCTCTGGGCATTTCTACATTCATAACCTGCACTGACACAGGAAAGGTCATGTTTCAGCCTCTCTAACAGTCACCCAGTCCTCAGCTCCATCCTGTTGTGCCTCATATTACCAAACTAATCCATGTGCTTAATTGACTCTTTCCTTTGTTTTTGGCTGCGCTGTTGGGTGTACAGTAACAAAGTGAATGACAGAGTTAATGTTGCGTCATGCTGCACTGCACCTGCTGTGTGCCGTGTGCATGGACAGTGTGGGACATGTGCATGCAGACACAGGTGCCTGCCTAACCATGTCTAACAGATGTACTGTTTTTGTCTCTCTGTCTCTTTCTTGGCTTCAACTTGTGTATCCAATTCTGGGTATCTTTTGGCTTTTTATTTTTTGTGAAATGATGAGACAAAATTCACTGAATTTTGAATTTGAATTCATAAAATATGCTGACTTTTATGCAATCTATTTTGAAATAGGAGCGTGGCTTTTGAAGATTCCTTTAGGAGTGAAGGTTTTGTTTATTTGTACTTTGTATGTTTTTTTTAAGTATTTGTTATATTTTTGTTTTTCTTTCTTTGAATATATAGTCAATTAATTTTCCCACATTTAGAGTTGGAGTTGCTTTAGTTGAGTTTATAGCGTTTTTCTGCTCTGCCCCCCTTTACATTCCTTTCATCCAGAGATGTCCGTGCCATATCTCTATCTGTCTATCTCTGTTCCCTGGGCTTCTTCTGTTCTCTCTTCTGTTTTTTAACATCCAAACTTTATCGTTTTGTTCCCGTCTTAATTTTGTAGTTCCTATACGTTATTTTCAATGGGCCTTTGGTGATATAGCAGTGTTTTTAAATAGATCCATGTGTTTTCTTCTTCCTGGCTCCTCTCCCCTCCTCCCCCTTGAACCCTTTTCTAATCCTCTCTTTATCTTCCTTATTTCCCTGTTACTCCCCTTCTCCCCTGTTTATCTCTTCTTCTCTTCTTGCATTCTGTCCGCACCCTGATGTAGGAGCAACAGACACATGTACATAAGTTTATTCACTTCTCACATGCACATACTACCTCACAAACCTCTCTTTTGCCCGCACTCTCCCGTTCTGCCTCTTTCACATTGTCTTGGTGTTTTTTGATTACCTACTTGTGTCCGACTGATCACTCTCCGTAACTGCCACTGCTCCCTATATGAACCACACTTCCTGTCCACATCTTTCAAACTCATTTCTGACAACACTGTATTAGTTCTGGATCCTATGTATTGTACAGTACTTTGTTGTACAATGTGGCTGTCCTTTGCTACATTGCCTGTCATTGTCTTGAAGAGAAGCAGAGCCTGTCGTCCTCTCTGGCTCTCTCTGGCTTCTCTCTCTCTGTCTCTTTAAATCCTCAGTTCTCCGCTCTCTTCTTTGTGTTTCCCACCATTTTATCCCTCTTGAGTCGCCCAGGCATGAAAGTTACCTATAAGTCCAGTCTCTCGATACTTCTTAATATTTAGTTTAATATAAATAGTATAGTCTGTCACATGAATGGATATAATTTGCCACTTCTTCTCAAGGGACAAAAATAGCAGTACACAAATTATTGATTGAACCAATGACTGTCTAATGCAGAAGCACCTTCAGCCAAAGAAATATTACCAAGTTTATTTCGACCAGTAATTTTACTCACTTGAAAATCTCCAAAATTGGTTTGAGAAACTGACTATAGGTGTCATGTCCTGGTTTGCGCAACACTCAAGAGTTTGTCACTTATTTTTTGATGAGGAGGCTCATGTTTTGAGCTCAACACAAGATTTGTGTCTTTGTTGAAATCATCAGTACCATAAAGTAATTGGAACTAAACTTGAAATATCCCTTTTGTAATTTTCTGTACAAACCCTGAAGTTCATTCTTCCCCTTCCTGTTACCTCTCCTTTCTCTATTCTATCTATTTCTTTTGCTTTCTGCCTCTCTCTCTCTCTCCCCTCACTCCTTGTTTTTCTCGCCCTACCTCTCCCTCCTTCCCCCCTGTCCCGCTCTGTCCTCCCCCACTTGCTGTCCCGCTTTCCCAGTGCGCCGCGTGCCCCCTCGCTTCTCCATCCTCCCCTCCAACCACGAGATCATGCCTCATGGGAGCGTCAACATCACCTGTGTGGCGGTGGGGTCGCCCATGCCGTACGTCAAGTGGATGCTGGGCAGCGAGGACTTGACCCCAGAAGACGAGATGCCCGTCGGGAGGAATGTTCTGGAGCTGAACGGAGTCAGAGAGTCGGCCAACTATACCTGTGTGGCCATGAGCAGCCTGGGCATCATCGAGGCCACTGCCCAGGTCCTTGTTAAATGTAAGGAAGGACTTTTATTCTAATGTGGTAGTACTAGTATTTAAAGTGGAAGAAGTACTGACAAAGCACGTGTGTTGCTACTTATAAACTATATTAAACTATGGGGGGCTTGTCTCTATGGAGATGCCATTGATTTGCCTGGAATGCTTCTCAGTAAAGTATTAATTTAATGGAAAGTTACAGGTCAAATCTGTGTGGAGCCAAGAAAGCAAAAACGTCACCATTGAGACAAGCAGGTTGTGGACCCTCATTCAGAAAGATACATAGTGCCCCTTTAAAGGTTATTTGCACTAATAACAACAGTAATGCCAGACATATAATGTCTTTGTAATGTTCAGTAAATAATTTGTGCGAAAGCCCGGTTTTGTTGCATTATTTAAGCATGTCTGCCTCACATGAGTCCCTTACACAGAAAGTGTAATTAAACAGAAACAAAGGAGAATGTCTGAGACTTTCAAAGATGTTATTTATCTGACACTGGCAGCTGACGACTGGAGAAGCTCTAGAGATCAAGACTTGATTCTCTAATTTTAGCTTTTTACTGCACTCATTTCACACTTACTGCTAACCTTTTAAGAACTGTGTAGATTTGTAACAATAGTCTAGACTTTAGCAGCACACTGGTGCACTTAATAACAAAACAAATATAGAATAAAACATCTTGACAAAGGCCTGAACTGTGAAGCATTGTTCAGTTACACCTGCCATATAGTTATTATATTATATTATATTATATTATATTATATTATATTATTATGTGTTCACTTATTGCAGAAGCCCATAAAGGGTGCATAAATGTTCTAAAAGTCTATTTCCAAGGTTTCCAGGTGCCAAGGTTTAGTAAGTAAATACAAACAACTAAACTGGTCCATATTTTAAGGAACAGCATTCATGACAGAAGTAATAGTAGTAAAATTAATAGTAGCATTAGTAGTAGTAATAATAGCTCAAATGGGACAAAAAAACAAACAAACTGAAATGATATGTTAACATTCTATGACAATATTTACTTATATTAAATAAATATTAAAATATTTATTTTCAAATCAGTCTTCTCTCTCTCTCTACCCTAGCCCTGCCCAATGCTCCTGGCACTCCTGTTGTGACAGAGACCACAGCCACCAGTGTGACCATCACCTGGGACTCTGGAAACCCCGACCCCGTCTCTTATTACATCATCCAGTACCGAGCCAAAGGACCGGACAACAAGTATGAGACCGTGGAGAGCATCACCACCACCCGCTACAGCATTGGAGGACTCTACCCCAACACTGAGTATGAAATACGGGTGTCAGCAGTGAACAGTATAGGCCAGGGCCCCCCCTCTGCCCAAGTTCATGCTCGCACTGGGGAGCAGGCTCCAGCCAGCCCTCCACGGAATGTCCAGGCTCACATCATATCTGCAAACACTGTGATGGTGCGCTGGGAGGAGCCAGAGGAGCCCAATGGACAGGTGAGTGCAAGCTATTTTTAACAGACATAGAAAATTATTTGATTTCATTCTGTTTTAAATTATTTAACCAGATTGCGTAATTACAGTAGAATATGCATTTACTCCTAGCACCAGGGCTCATGAAACAAATGATTTTGCTTTGAATTTTGACAAAGGTGAGATTTTTGTATCTTACATCATCAGTTCAAATCTATAATTATTAGGTTATGTAATGTATTAAGATATACACTAATATATTTTACCATGATGAAATGGGGCCTTGGTGGACATCTGAACTCAAACATCAAATAATACATATTATAGTTCAATGTCAGTCTACAAAGGCAATGGGAAAAGGCTATTCTTACATGTACAGTTATACTTATAAAGCTGGTACTGCTGTCGGAGTGATGATACTTTAAAATAGCATTGTGAGAGTTGTTCTGATTAAGGCCCGGAGAGGTTAAAACTTAATAAAAGTCTCCAGCGGGAGCACTTTTCCAGTGAGCAGGTTTGTGTCCTCAGCCTCTTTTTTTTTTTTTTCTTACAAGAGAGATTTCCCTGCTGTAACTCCCAGACCACTCTCTCTCACTCTAAAGAAAGACAAGGTAATTGGACTGTCCTCTCAAAGTGAAAGTGCTCCCTTCTGAGGACCAGCCACCTGACCATCTGACCAAATCCACACATAAGTGCAATTGAATTAGAAGCATATGAGGATAAGATTAATAGATTAATAGCAGGAGAGAGAATGTATACTATACATGTGCAGTAGCTGTTATTGAAACACCAATCTTGAGACTCATTTACATGCAGTATTCTTATATTGCCTTAATGAAGTAACTTGTGAAGTCATTTGCTTCTTCTGAGAGTTCACACTTCATTGCAATTGGTTAAATGCATCTGTCACTCACTTGAGGCACTGCTGAGGCTGACCAGTAGGAGGTTTGGTTGGGGGAAAAAATTCTCAGTCATGATACCAAAATTGTATATTGTCACAGGAATGAGACCATGAATACATTTTATTACCATATTGTCCAGTGCTAGTGGCAGGTTATGTGACAGTTAAAAGGAACATATTACGTTATTTTCTGATCTCTTTTATAATGTTGTTTTCTCATCAAAAACATTGTTTTGTTTCATTCACACATGTTGACATTAACACACACCCTCCATACCTTGTGATGTGGTAATACAGGAAGTGTTTCACTGTATTTTTACACACCTTCATAATTTCAGACCTGGAAATGCCAGTCATTACTGAACTAAAGGTAAAAGGTAGCCATTGACTTGAAAACTACTGCTAGATGACATCACAAAGTGGAAAAGAGCATTTTAAGCTTTGGATATGTAGACAGACTAATACTCAAACATGTGTGAATGAAACAAAACACAACTCCAGATTTTTGATGAGGTAATAACATTATAAAATAGCTTAGTCAATAATAGTCAGTTTTGCATAATGTAGCATTTATAAGCTATTTCTCAAATGACTGTAGAAGCTTAAGGTAGGAGAAATGTGTGGGATTATGAAGTGCTAGGGTTTGTGGAGATCTGGCAATAGACCAGGGTTTACCCACGTGTATGAAAAAGCACTTTGTTTATCGGGGTCAAACATCAGAGCTCCCAAGAAACACAGGAACATCACCTTGGAATGTGGACCTTCACCAAACAGCCAAGCCGCAAATCTCCTACACCATCTGCATCCAAGCAACACTGTAATTCATACGTGATGACCTTGGCTTTGACTGTTATAAACTCTTATGGTTATGTGTTGTAAAAAGATATTATGGATTATCAGGCATTTGGGACAGTGGGATTACGTGAACAACCACATAATACCCCTCAATCACTGACAGACACTCAAATCCAGTTTCAATCCTGCAAAGTGAATTGTTTTCTCACTGATCACGAATTATTTGTCTGGCTTTCTGATATAGGTGAAAGGGTATCGTGTCTACTATACTATGGACCCCTCCCGTCCCATGAATGAGTGGCAGATCCACAACGTCCAGGACAGTGTCATCACCACTGTGCAGAACCTGGTTGCCTCAGAAACATACACTATTCAAGTGCTGGCCTTCACCTCGGTGGGGGATGGGCCTGCCTCTGACCCAGTGCATGTTAAAGTCACACCTGGAGGTTAGTGCTTCTAGTTATGGTGATAAGGTGTTTACATCGTACCCATTTCTCAAAAGTTTGATTGTAAAACATTAAATGTAAACTTTCATTAGTTACAACAGTAATTGATGAAACTACATGGGCATTTGAGTTGGGCTGTTTAATGTCATACTGTAGAACAATCCAGGCAAAGCATTAACATTTTCATTTTCAAGAGAAACAGGCAGTGAACCCTCCATCAGAAAAGTTACATAGTGGAATTTTATTCACAAATCTCTAACATAGGCATATGCCATGCATCAAAAGTTGTGAGGCAAATGTTGGAATATTTATGTAATAAAAACAAAAATGAGAGTTGTTAAATATAATTTCTTATGAGCACAGTCAAGCAAAAATAAGCAATAAATTATTTGGCTGTAATTTACTAAGCTTCTAATTTGAGCGACTTACATCAAGTTGTTCAAAGCACTGGATTGTGAAACGCTTCCAGATCAGCTCATCCTGTCAGAACAACATTAATCCATTTAAATGAACTAATTCCACCTGTTTAGACCCAATCCTGTCAGTGTAAACAGAGTAGCGATTAAGAGCTAAAAATGTTCCACTCCTCCACTGCTCATGACAGTGTGACAGCAGTTTCTATAGGGGAAATATACAAATATAAATATGGGGGAAGGATTTTTGTTTTCTTCTTGGAGCAACCAACAAAAGGAATTACAAGTTATTTATACCCTCATAAAACCACTTAAAGACAGCAATACCCAAACTGTAGATCTAAAATGAAATGCAAACATAAACCATATATTTAAACTAAATGTATATTTCTATGTTTAGTTCCTGGGCAACCAGGTAAATTCCGAGTGGGCAAAGTGACGGACACTAGCATCGAGCTGATATGGGAGCCTGCATACACCAAGGAGAGCATAGTCAACTATGAACTTCTCTACAGACCTGTCAAGTTTGGGAGCGTGGTAAGACTTCTTCTCATGTGTGTGCATGTGTGTGGGTAGACTGCTTAACAAGGCAGAGGGATAAAAGGGCAGATAAAAAGAGGAGTTTGAAAGATTAATGCCAGTGTCCGTAGCCTCAGCAGTGCGTGGTGACTGTCTTATCAGTTGCTATAAGCCCTGTGTCTGTGTGCACTGAGCCTGCCCTCTCTCTGTCCTCTGCTCCTCTCCACTGCTCTCACAGGAGAAACTGACCTTCGGACCCAGGAGTTCGTACACAGTGGTGGGCCTCCAGGCAGATACAGAATACTCCTTTTCCCTGGCTGCCACCTCCAACAAAGGCCTGGGAGCGTTCACCAATGAGCTGGTGCAGAGGACGTCACAAGCCAGTACGTCTCCATTTCACTGGATTATTTCTGCAGCCACGCGGTTATTCCCCAGATTGAATTGTTCTGAAAATTATATGGAGTGATTACCTTACGCACATAACAGCTTTGCTTCTTGGATCCAGCTGCATCCATCCTCATATCTCTCCATCTATCTTGTTTATCAAACCATACATCAACCCCTCTCCTAAGCATCCATTGCTGTCTGACTGTGCCTTTCTCGCTGGCTTCTCTCCTCGAGCCGGGCATGCTGACAGATGGAGACAGAGCAGCGAATAATGTTTCACTCTTCCTTTGCCTTGCCCCCCTTCCACTTTTTCCATTCTATCTATGTCTTTGAAAGGGCAAAAGTGTGTGCCACTTATTGGCTAACAGCCAATAGAAATGGGCATTAAGGAATGGCAGTTTGCCTGCTGTGTTGACAGGTAAGTAACAGCCAGTGCATCATCAGTGCTGTACCTTTTTCTTTGGCTGTCTATACAAATGCATATCTATTTTAAGACACAAATGTTATTTTTCTCAAAAAAGTGCATATTTTGACATCTATCTAGACGTCTTCTATCTTTGCAAATACAACATAATTGGCATGCCAATTTCTAATCAAAATACAGGCAAAATGCAGGAGTAAATTCTGACTAAACTAGATGAGTAAATAACTACAATTTGTATAATGCAGCATTTTATGTTTATTACACACATGCTTTAAATGTATTGACTTGTGACTGTCTAAAGTAAAGAAAGTAAGAGATAACAGAGAAAAGGGTACAGTTTTCTAGTCAGATGTGAGATCAAGTTCAGTCCATGTTGTTGAATGGCTTCAGAGGTAAGCATTTGCAATCACACACCGGATTCGTGTTGCCAGATCTGTTGTAAGGCTGATTTCAAACTGTGCTCTGAGCTGTTCTCTTCTACCTCCAAAATGAAGTGGCGTCCAAGGTGGTACAGCGGGGTAGTTTGCAGGTTGCCAGATAAGCAGACTATTTCATGCAGCAGAATTCATTTCCTGGGGAGGTAATGCGTGCTGCTTTGTTATCGCCAAGCTTTGGTGCACATCTAGATTGTCCCCTGAGGCCAGCTGAACACTGGCTGTACGGCTGAGTGGAGAGATACTTGAACCTGTCAGCTATGACTATTACACCCCCACACATGCACACAACTTTATAAAGGTCTGGCAGTGCACATATGGTCCAGGTGTTGTGTACACGCTGGCCATTTTACAGGTTTATAAGGAGGAAAACTTTGAGTGTTGAGTGATACAAAGGATTCAAAAGCTAGTGTTTGCTCCAGTCTGACTAGAACTGTCCCTGATTCGATTCTTGTCTTCAATTCATCATTCCAGCCTGACTTCCCAAAATCCATCTGAGTGCCTTTCTCTCCTGGGGCTCCTGTGTCTCTTTTATTGCCTCCTAAATTCTTTCTGTGCTGTGTGAGATCTGTTTCAGTTTGTTTTTCTTTCTCCTATGAAGCCCTGGACCTTCTCCTTGTTAGTAGGGCAAAGTTTTCTGCTCTGTATTATCTGTGCAGGATTATGCCAGGGTGTGGGGAAGGTCTGTGAAATGTATATATTCTGAAATAGTGTGCAGTGAGCTGAGGCCCCTGAAACCAAGCCTGTTTTATTCTTAAAGATGGATGTTTAAATATAGCAGCTGTGTATGAGAGGCAAGGCCCTGCTACTATAATTACATTGTCTACATCAGGTCAATATTCTTGTCTCTGCTTTATTTCATTAGGCACGGTGCCTAACAGTGTTTATTAACATTATGTGGTTGCTCCTTTTGTGCCTGAGTCATTGTTGTCTTTGTTCCAACTTTTCAGTTTATTTTTTGTTGTCTCCTTTTTTTCCTTATACTTTCCTTTGGTTTGCTTCTTTCCCTCTCTTAATTTCCTTGTCCTGTTTTCTGGTTGTTCCTAAACCATTGTCCCTGTCCAAGCAGAGCCCTCTGCTCCACCTGAGGGGGTGTCCTGTGAGAGTGTCAGCTCCACCGCGCTCAGAGTCATTTGGAAGCCTCCTCCAGTAGAGGAGCAGCATGGACAGTTAGCTGCTTATGAGCTCAGCTATCACAGAGTGTCTGGAGCTGAAGGCGAGGGGCAGGGCCAGGTGAATGGGCTGTCTATCCCCCCTCAGCAGGGGCACACACAGGTAGAAGGGCTGGAGAAATGGAGCTGGTATAACATTACAATGGCTGCCTCCACTGCTCGTGGGACAGGACCTAAAAGCCCGGCTGTGCTGTGCAGAACTGATGAGGACGGTAAGAAGCAGAGCTGGCTGTAGCTCTTAGCTAATCAGCATTGATCGTTTAGTTGATTATTTACTGGCCAGTCTGCTGGTCATTTAATTACTCTTATGTGTTTAGTTCCTGGAGCAGCACCCCGTCAAGTTGATGTGCAGCCTCTGAACTCATCAGCACTGCATGTCACCTGGCGACCTGTATCGCCACGGTTACGCCAAGGCCAGATCCGGGGTTACCAGGTGCACTTCAGCACCACGGGGAGCAGTGATTCACGAAATCTGCCTCGGATCAAGGACCTCCTACTGGACGAGTCCCAGGTGACTGTCTGAATATTTAGAGAGTATTTAAAGTGTATTTAATCCTCAGACAGCATCTCTTTTGGTGCTTTGACTCATTCTTCTCTCTGGTCTCGTCTGGGCTGCCTGTGGCGCATCGTGTTTGAAGATGGAGGAGACTGACTCCACTCAGTATGTAAGTTTGCCAAGTTCAACTCTCCATATTCTAGAAAGAATTCCCGCTTGGGATTTGTTGACACATAGTTATGTAAAAGTTTTAATGAATTTACAAATATGTAATTACCCCTAAAAATACTGTTATATGTGATTTTTTCTCTAGGAGATGATTTTGGGTGGGCTGAAAGCAGAAACCTTGTACTCTGTCTCTGTGGCTGCGTACACCACCAAAGGAGATGGCGCACACAGTAAAGCAAGACTGGTGCAGACCACAGGAATTGGTAAGCACATACTCTATATACTTTATTTTTAATGTTTATGTATTTTTTGCACACTAATCTATATATCTTCTTATTGGCAGTACCTGGCCCCCCAAACTTCTGGATACGCCCTAGTCGTGGTAAATCAGTGATTATTTGGTGGGTTCCTCCACAGGACACTACTGAGTCTGACAAAAAGGGACGTCCAGTTGAAATCCTGGGATACCATTTGCAGTTTGGACTGAAGAACAGCTCCTTGAACAGCTCAGTCATTTTCTCTCCCCAAGAGAGGAACTACTCCCTCAGTAACCTCTCCCTGGGAACGCCTTATGTTTTTGTCCTCTCTGCTAAGAGTAAAGCTGGCTACGGAGCTTTGTCGCAGCAGGAAATAACCCTTCCAATGTGCCCACCCTCGGGACCCCCCAAAATATCTGACTTTGTTAATGCCACTTGCTGTTCTCTGCACCTCTCCTGGCAGCCTCCTGTCCCAGAAGACTGTAATGGTGCCATCACTGAGTACACGATTGCTTATAAAAAGGCAGTGAGCCAGAAACCCCCGGTTATCCCTGATGCCTCTTCAGGATCTGCCCCCTCTGCTCCCCCGTGGCATGTCACACTATCTGCCACAGAGTCCAGCTACATCATAGTTGGCCTCAATCACAGCACAGCCTACGAGGTGCAGCTCAGAGCCCACAACAAGGCAGGGCCAGGGCCATTCAGCCTACCCCGTGTGTGCCACACACTGGCCTTTGAAACAGGTAGGGCAGTTCTAAACACCCTTTGCCTCCTTAGCACTGCCCTGAGATCACAGCTCTTCTCCCTTCATGTGGGTTTCACCAAACCACCATATTAAATGTGAAGCAGTTGTTCCAGGTCAAACCTGTGCACCTCATTGAGGCTGTAAGGAGCACAGTCCGGAGGAGCATGTGCTCCCCTCACTCACTTACCTTCATCACCTTCCCCTCACCGCCAGTGGAGCAGGCTGAATGTTAATGGATGTCTGCTTCAAGAGCACAGCTTATCACAAACCCTCAGGTAAAAGTCAATATAAGGCTTGGAAATACAGTAATACACAAGGTACGTTGAGAAAGTGAATTAAGGAAAGTCTCATTTGGGCCGATCTCTGCAGGTAAGCGTGTTTTATCTGATAGACCTCCACAGCCACCTTTATAAAGCTTTCTGCTGACATGCAGGATTCAGAGTCAGACAAACACAACCTACCACTGTGCGAATGGGGCATGTCACGTTCCTATGGTGGGTCTGTCTCTGATCTGTTCTGACGTCCACTCTCCTCACCTGCTCATCCTCCTCCACATCATGCTCTGCTCCCTCACCCTTCTGTCACATTTTCTCCAGGGTTGCTGTGGATACCTGATGATCTGCAGACTCAAATAAAAGCCTTCTCCACAAGCGACTTATCTGTGTTCTTATCTGTCCTCATTTTAGATGTTCCAAGGAATTTCTCAGTCAATCTGGCCACAAAGACCAGTGTCCTTCTGACATGGGAGTTTCCAGAGAGCAGTAACTCCTATCGCTTCACGGTATGACTAATAAGAGCTCAAGAGAGAGTCTGTTTGTATATCATCGATTATAGGAACATATTTAAGACATATTGTACTGTATATCTATGTAGGTTAATGTTACATGTTCATTTATTTTAATTTGACCTAGAATATGCAAAGGCCTATATCATGTTCCAAATTGCACACCACTACTTTTTGACTGACTACTGTAATATAAGGTAGTACTAACATTACATATTATAACTAACTAGTATGAGACATGAAGCAAACCGTATCAAGTTGGAAGAGGGCTACATTAAATTGAAGTTGTTTTTGTTTTTAGCAACTGACTGCAAAATTCATCAAAACTCATTATTCTCTCATTAATAATTCCAGAGTTAAAGGAATAACACCTTTGTGAAATATTTATGAGCTGTTTTTTGATAGAACTTTGACTTTAAATAATTCAAAACATGGAATTAATTGATACAACAAATACCTGATTTTTTTCACAATTTCGTATATATTAACTGCCCTTACCCAGGTGGAGTATAACCAAAGGAAGATGGAGGTGGATGCTCGTCTGAGAAAGGCTGTGATCCCAGACCTGCAGCCTAACACCAGCTATGACTTTATGATCACCGCTCCAGAGGGAAACATGGGAGGCCTTCGTCACCGCATCACTGCCAAAACCTCTCCTCCAATGACTATCCGCCGCCCCGAGATCGACCACACCCGCGACACAGAAGCCACAGTCACAATCATACTCCCATCACTAGAGACGAGAACGCCGGTCAAGTATGTGTTAACAAAAATTATCACAGTAATAGCAAAAAGATACTAACGATGTTTCCTGGTAATTTTCTAATCTTCATACTGGGTTAGGGTGAATCAAACTACTTTGAGAATCATAATAGTTCCCATGTAATGACCATAATTACACTATACTAATGCGTGAATACTGTGCTTTGTACCACAAATTGACATACTTGATAATTGATATAGGTAAAATTTCCCATATTACTCAAAAATGACTCTTCTGAGTTCTGAGTTTTAAACCATGTTAGAATGTCTCCTTAGAAACATACCCAAAATGATATTTTGTTTCATTCACACATGTTTGAGTACCGTAATCCTTTATTATTTGTCTATCATATGTCTACATTTTCAAAACTCAAAATGCTCTGTTGCACTTTGCAGTGTCATTTAGTAGTATTTTTTAAGTTAACAGCTACCTTTTACCTTTAGGTCAGTAGAGATGGGCAATTCCAGGGCTGAAATTATCCAAATGATTCCAGATGTATGGGGTTTAAAAGCACAGTGTAGCATTTCCTGTACTACCAGATGACATCACAAGGTGGAACAGAGTTTTCCGTTGGAGAGAAGAACTCCTACATATACAGGATTTGTGTGCTACACATGTGTAACACACATGTTTTTGGAAACAACATTATAATACAGATCAGAAAATAGCTTAATATGGGAGGTTTAAGGACTTTTTATAATAATAATATACCCTATATAAGCTTAGTATGTTTGCACTTTTATGTGAACCCTCAGAATGTTACAGGTGCAATCAACTATAACATTTGTAGTGAGAACGATCTAATGTGTTTTCCTGGTTTCTCTAAACAGGAACGTTTATGTGGTAGTGGTCCCATTAAGGAAAGCCCGTGGCGTCATCAGAGCCCTCAAGAGCCCAGACGAAATGGACCTTGAGGAGGTGAGAGAAAACACTGTTTGCTTGTGCCTCAAAGCAGCAGAAGACCTATAAACACAACATAATAATATCACAGCTAGCAACTCCTGGCAATGCTTACCCTTTTCTAATTTAACATATTTTTTCCAACATTAGTCATGCAATGCCTTGTCTGTCTTCTCACTCTATTCCCCACAGCTATTGAAGGATATCAGTCAGAAGCAGAGAGATTCCAGGCAGCAGAGGACAGTGGACCTAAGGCGAGCGTACATCACGGCCCGCTTCACACCTGCCACTCTGCCGGCCTTTTTCACCCTGGGGGACCAGCTGGACTACGGGGGATTTGAGAACCGAGCACTAGAGCCAGGCCAAGAATACGTCTTCTTTATTCTGGCTGAACTCAACTCCACAACTGGGGTACAGTCTCTTTTGTTAATACCACCCATGGCTTTGAAAGTGAAAATTTACGTAGTTGTAATAGTAATTAACAATTCAAAACTAAATATTATACCGTGTAACTTTTCTGGTGTAATGTCTGCCACCTGCTTGTTTCCTTGGAGATTTTATTGCTTTGCCTAGATTGTTTCGCACATAGACAGATCAATGGAGAAGAAAGCCTGCACATAGTAAGAATTCATGTTTTAGGTATTTTAGAAATATAAAACTTTATAAATGCAAGTGTTATGTATTATGTTATGTGTTATGTTTATTGCCAATTTGTGGAACATTCCATGCAAAGAAATAACATCTTCCTGGAGACAAGCAAGTAGCGGACCCTTCACCTTAGAGGTTACATAGTGCACTTTTAAATTTATAAATAAAGTATTGTGTATGTGTTTTCAGAGGTTTATTTTTTTGAAAACTATTAGCAGTATTAGTAGGTGTAATATAGTAATACCATTAAGAGTAGACGTAGTAGTATTTGAGTTATGGGTAAGTAATTCTACAGTTAGCAGATAATCCCAGACAATTTACAATTAATTACCTTTTTTTACAAAATATTTTTTCAAATATTTCTCTCTCTCTCTCTTTTTTTTTTTTTTTTTTTTTTTTTTTTTTTTTTGCTATTTATAGTCATATTATTTTTACTTCAATACTCCTCCCTTTGTTCAGTCTTTTATAAAACCTTGCCTATTGCACAGTACTCTAGCCCTGCAGCTAAAACAATAAAATTCACGTCAGTCAAAGTGTTGTAAGCAAAAGGCAATAACCCTCATATACTTTCATCACCAATGGTAATAAAGAGTGAGGGAGCACACCAAGAACTGTGAGAGGAGATGCCGGCCTTTACAATGGCGGTCAACGGTGAATTGGAATTGAATTGAGCATAAATATCCTGCTAGAATGAATATAGATTGGAAATGTTTCATTGCATTATTGCAGTTGAACGTTCAAAAATATTGATCCAGCAAGACCAGAGCAATCAAAGTGACAGGCGTGTATTGGCTTTCCTATTGTTAATGAATGGTTTATTTTTTTATAACAACTTCAGAATGGTCAAGAGTTCGCCCCACCAATTCAGGCCAGCTGCTTTGGATGTGTGCCGCAACCCAACCACTAGGCAACCCAGCAGTGCAAATTGAGAGACAGATGTGTCAAAAAAGGGAGATAAGCACTGTAATAATAATTTAAAGACCTTATTTTCAACTCAAAATCAACTCTTTGAGCTTTGAGTCATCTTAGAATGTTAGAATGTTGTTACCTCCTCAGCAGACCTGGAGTTGTGTTTTGTTTCATTCACATGTGTATTATTAGTCTGTCTTCATCTCCAAAATTCAAAATGTTGTTTCACCTTGTGATGTTTCAAGTTATCAGCTCCTTTTACCTTGGCAGTTCCAGAGAAACCATCTAAATGATTCTAGTGAAGGTATATGGAGTTTAAAAACACAGTGGAGACCTTCATATATGTGACATCACAAGGTGTTACCGAGTGTTATCTGTTTGTGAGAAGAAGAACTCAGCCTAAACATGTATGAAACAAAACATAACTCCAGCTATGTTTGTGATGAGGAAACATTATAACAGATCAGACAGTTGTGCAATATGGGCCCTTCAATAGGCACTGTTCACTTGAGAGATAAATCATGTCTGCAGTAGTTCAAATTACGTTAAAAAAAACCATGTAATTTCAAAATATGAAATTTTAAGACAAGGCTTTGTGTCAGGAAGAACATCAAAACAACATGAACATAGATAATGATCATTTATTTGTATAATCTTTTTTCCCTAAATATACTATGCATAGAGAGGAAGAATTAGCACTGACCCTTATACTTCTTTTTTTTTTTTTTTTTTTACAGAAAATGTATGTAGCCAGTCCATACACAGACCCAGTGATTGCTCCAGATTCGGACCCCCAACCTCTGGATGCTGGAGATGGTCTGATTTGGGTGGTGGGACCTGTCTTAGCTGTGGTCTTCATCATTTGCATTGTGATTGCTATTCTTCTGTACAAAAAGTGAGTGTTGCAGAATACACACACACAGACAGCTTTCATTGTTTTGTTTAGTACAGAATAGGAAGCTAGTTTACAGCGACATTTAAGACTGATGCTCCTTTAATTTGTTCCACTTTAGACTTTTCTCTCCCTCAGATAGCTATCAAACCATCTGACCCTGCTCTTGGCCTTGCATAGCTCCAGAAGCCTTCAACCTTTTGAATGCTAATGCAATTTATTGATTTTTCTTGAACAATCTGTCTGTTCTGTTCCTTTTCTGCCCCTAATTATTTCTTCCTGGCTTCCTCGCGCCTGTTTCACTGGAAGCAGCCAACCTGACAGGTAAGATTAAACCAGTGTCCACCTCTTTGTTCATTTGATCTTACAACACTTACATGGGGAATTGAAAGCACTGATAGTAGTTCCTCTTTTGGTGTAATAGATTCTAATAGTTCTAGTTGAAAGATATATTATTTTTTGTGTAGTTCTTTAATTCATTACCACAGAAAACCTACCTCCTAATTAGAGTTGGGAATAACAGTAAGATACAAAACGTAACATTGTGATAATCATTATACTGCACATTTTTATGCATGTGATTCTTAGAATAGCACATCACTGTTCTGTACTGCATGGTTCAGTCTATGTAACTGTGTGCTGCAGTAGGATACTTTTTATGAGAAATTGGTGACATAGTGGTTTAAAGATAGAGATTTGTGGTATGTCTGATCATTGATACATGCAATTTTCTATATCTCCCCGAGCAGCAAGCGAAAAGACTCTGAACCAGGAACCAAAAGTCTTCTTAGTAATGCTGAGATGATGGCTCACCACCCAACAGACCCTGTAGAGATGAGACGCATCAACTTCCAGACTCCTGGTATGTCTTAATAATGCACTGAAACAGACACCCAAACACACAGCGGCCACATTTGCATAAGAAAGTGTACTTCCACCGCTCGTGATTTGATAATGAATTATTCATTAGGCTAATTTTATCCCTGCTGAGATTATGCTGACAAGATTGTGGAAGTACTCCTCCGCATCATAAATCGCCCAACGACATGTACCTGGCAGCTTCCTGTCTCTTCTCAGATCAAAATGGCTACTGCCAAGGTACAGTCAGTGCTTAGTCACGCTTGAGTCATAGCTCTGTGACAAAATCTGATCATCTCCGCTCACCCACCTTAAACATTCTAGCTCCATATTACAGACAACACAAGACAGCCATTAACCAAATCTGTCTCATAAATCATGAATGTGGCCAAAAATTGATACGGAAACATTGTACTGTGCAGCCTTTGTGTGTCTCTTCTCTTGCCATCTGAAAACCCCACTGTGAACTAACTACATAGTTTTGCCGCTTCTCGTCCCCCACAGAGCCAGATCTAACAACACAGCTGTTCTGGTCACGGCACCAGGCTAATGCGACATTGCTTTTATTTTTTGTCCTCATTTAATTAACAGACTTCACATTTATCCTACGTCATTTACTCACCTCGCTGTCGTTCTGCAGTTTATAGAGCCGCATAGAAAAGGTGTTATGTTTCATCACTACCGTAAAGGATTTAGTTTTTACCTGTCGCAGCCTGAACCATTTTAATCCCGAGATGAAAGTATGTGATCCTGGGAAGCAGAGTAAACCCACCGAAGTGAAAAAAACTCCACCTCTGCTCTTTTTCTTTTATCATACATTTTTGCTCGGTCTCTTGTGGGAGCAGTCTTGAAGCCGACGCTACCACAACTTTTTTTCCCCAGAGATGGGTGCTTTTGAGAAGCTCAGTAAAGATAAAATTTGTTTCCAAGAAAATCCTGCCCGATGCTATCCGAGGTCATTGCGGTCGTGACAGTAGTGCTTTGTCGTGATTACCTGTGGGTGCTGTGCTGCAGAAAATAACTCTTTTAAACCCACATTTGGCAGGTCAAAACAAAATTTTCATGGCACACAATTGATTCTTTTTGTAGTAGAAATCTTCACCAGTCAGATTTAAGATTATGACCATCATAACTGTTCACCAAAACACCTGTTAGTGGGCGCCTAATACAGTATTATGTAATCCTCAAAAGTTGTCTAAGAAGCGAGAGAAATGGGCACGCATTAGAGTGGTAAAAGCCAAATTGTAATAGCTAGCCGTTTGTGTCAGGTATCCAAAATTGCACGTCTTTTCAAATTTTCAAAAATGGTTAGCGAAGCATCTACAGTGAGGCTGCAAAGGTTGATGTATGTGAGGATCAAATGGCCCCAGAGACAGAAATGTGCATATTAGACCGTGGTCATAATGTTATGTTTTATCATAGGAGTTGTTTTACTGCAATGCAATTGGTTATTTTCATAGAGAACCAAGGCACGTTATAACTTTTGTGTTCTCCCTTTTGCCTTGTGTGGATTGTTTCTTTTCACCATGCAGTATTACTTTGGGGCCTTTGATTTATGGTCATAGATATTTGCCTTTTCCTTTCTCTCCAGCTGTGAAGAGAAATGACTGTTTGGAGGCATAGGTTCTTTTCAAGTGTATCTGTGTGCGTGTGTGTGCATCTGTATCACTGTATGTGCAGCCCTAATTACTGTTGCGTCTGTGTTTGTTTTCTCTAAGTTGTTGCTCCTCTGATCACACCGCCAGCAATTTATCAAAGAAAAAAACATTTACAAACAAATGCGCCTTGCCTCACTTTGTCTCAACACATGGATCAAAATTGATTTTCTGCCTCAGTGTCTTTCTTAATGATATGCGATGTTCCCTGATTGTATAATTATCAGCACATCTTTGCATATGAGTGATGTCAACCTGCAGTAATTTGAGGCTGTTGAGCGGATGCCGTCTTCACCTTCTGAACTTTGACCTTTTCTCCCTGTGATCCTTGTTATCATGCAGGAATGATGAGCCATCCTCCGATCCCCATCGCTGAGCTGGCGGAGCACATTGAGCTGCTGAAAGCCAATGACAACCTGAGACTGTCCCAGGAGTATGAGGTGGGAAAGCATTACGATTCTATATGGTGAATGGAGCGGGCACCATTTTTATAGCTGTTAAGTCCTTGCTTCATAACGCAAATGTAATTTAACTTTTGTTTATCCGTGTGCTGATTATATGTTCATGATTAATTCAGCAGTACAATTTATTGCTGTATAACTTGTCTACATTATGGAGCAGGAGCAGACAATCCATTACCTGCAAATGCACCACTTAATAGCTTCTACACACTCAAAGCCTTTGTGTCTGCTCGTTTCTTTCCCAGTCTATCGACCCGGGCCAGCAGTTTACCTGGGAACATTCCAACCTGGAGGTCAACAAGCCCAAGAACCGCTATGCTAACGTCATCGCCTACGATCACACTCGAGTGGTTCTGGCACCCATCGAAGGTGAAAAATAGTTTGATTAACAAATGTGTTATTTCTGGTGTAGAAAAGGTTAGTCCAGTGGTGGAAGAAGAAGTAAAGAAGTAAAAGTACAGATACTGGGTCAGAAAAATACTCACGTAAAATGTAATTAATTTAAAATGTACATTAAGTACATTAATTTACTACTTTTATTTTGTTACATTCCACCACTTATCAGATATCAACTTTGATATTTGATAACCCTAAATATCAAGGAGAGAGTTGGTTTAGATTTGGTATAGTAATATAAATCAGAAATTAGTCTTGTTCTTGTCCATATTTAATTAAGTACTGAATAGTTTAATCCAAAAAATATACTTTTCATTAACTTTTTTTTTTCAAGTAATCTCATTTTTGTGTGGAAGAATGTGTCACATGCATTCCTTGGGTTTATAATGTTTGGTCAAAATTTCATCTCTTTGGATTTCTGAGTAAAAACATCATACAGTACATTTATTTATGTGTATTTTTTCAATTTTAATACAATTACAGATTGTATTTAAAAAGTTTGAAGGAACTCTGTTACACAAATTAGACTCTTGTCTAATTAAAAAAACATACCTGGAGTTGTGTTTTTGTTCACACATGTTTGAGTAATCCTTTAGACTGATAGTCTGCCTAGTGCCTACATCTCAAAATTTGTACAAAGCTCAATATGCTCTGTTTTATTGTGACTGTGATGTTATGAAGCTATAGTTTTGAAGTTAACAGCTCCTCTTACCTTTAGTTCAGTAGAGATGTGCAATTCTAGGACTGAAATCATATAAATTCGAATGAAGGTGTATGGAGTTTAAAAACACAATAGAGCTCTTCCTCTATTACCACATGACATAACAAGGTGGAACATTGTTTTCAATTTGAAAGAAGAGCACAGCCTAAATATGCAGAATTTCTGTGTTAAACATGTGTGAATGAAACAAAACACCACTCCAGGTATGTTTTTCATGATTATAACACAGATCTGAAAATATGAGCCCTTTAAATAAAAGTCTTCTGATTAAGGCAAAATCATGGTTATACTGATTTCAATCCAAGCCAGCCTAGTTTAGCGTTAGGTAAACCCAGGGGCACAGGGGGGAAGGTGCTCTGAAACAGCAACGCACCTGTGTGCAGTGGCATGAGACTGACAAACAGCTCAGGTGCATTCAAGTGCAGCCAGCGCTCCCCACAACAAGAACAGACAATGAGTTTGATCTGGAGCTCATGAAATTACACCCACTCTCCTGTTTGTTTGTTGTCACCCAGCAGTAGCCGTCAGTTTGCCTGGCTGTTTCATGTCACACGCAGGTTAGGTTAATTTGTGTCTAGAGCCCTTACAAGTGTCTCATTCGCAGGTATCTTGGGGAGCGACTACATCAATGCTAACTACATAGACGGCTACAGGAAGCAGAACGCCTACATAGCCACCCAGGGACCACTTGCTGAAACTTTTGGAGATTTCTGGAGGATGGTGTGGGAGCAAAGAGCTGCCTCTGTTGTTATGATGACACGTTTGGAGGAGAAGTCTAGGGTAAGGAAGCTGTTTTTACCCACTGCCCCACTAACCTGAAACTACTGGGTATGACAAATAAATCTAAGAACAAAAATAAGATTGTTTTCCATGTGTGTGTTGTTTATTGTAGATAAAGTGTGACCAGTACTGGCCAAGTCGAGGTACAGAGACCTACGGCATGATCCAAGTCACTTTGCTGGACACAATGGAGCTAGCCACATTCTGCATTCGCACTTTTTCCCTACACAAGGTAAATTTCATCATTTTTCCATTTCATTACAGGGCCTTATTTACACTTGAATCCCTGCTATTACCTATCCACAAACCAGACGGACCGCCCTGTGTTGGCCTGAGATTGGATAACGGTTGGAGGCACAGCCGTTTCATATAGACCAGGGCTAATCTAGGTCCGTCAGGCTGTGGCCTACTTACAAATGTTAAAACTAGGCCAAGTGAAGCTTGCAACTACATAAACAAGTCTCTGAAATTTGGTATTTTGATCATCAAATAGAAAACAATGTATATGTCTTTTTTGTTGTTGTTGTTTTTCCTGACCTATTTCGTACACACTGGAATAACTTCAAAATACAGAAATAAAATAACATTCACTTACAGGAAAAGTCAGCAACATCTGTTAACAAATCTGTAAATTATGAAAATGCACCAATATCTAATCATTGTATTATATAAATGAATTATTTTGTTTTATATGCTTTTTAATGTTTTATTCAAACTTAACACTACTTTTTGACTGTTATAGAGTGGCAGTAGTGAACGGCGAGAGGTGCGACAGTTCCAGTTTACAGCCTGGCCCGATCATGGTGTCCCAGAATACCCCACACCTTTCCTCAACTTCCTTCGTAGAGTTAAGTCCTGTAACCCTCCTGATGCTGGACCCATTGTTGCTCACTGCAGGTATGTTATATGCCATCATGATTATTTCAGTTACCTCAAATCATTTTGGGCCAAATTGAGTTTTCATTGTCATTCCACTCTCCAGACGCTTCTGCCTCTGTAGGTTTCATTGTCAAAAGATTTTTACAGCTCAAAAACAAAACAAAACACAAACAGCATAGGCAGTTTATTCTAGTATTTTCCCGAGAACCCTGAAAAATTACTTAGGCAGTTGTACTAGATGGGTTATGTTATACACATAAAGTATTTTTTGTGTACGAATTTTGCTAGACAAATAAACTTGCCATGCCTTACCTTGCTTATTTTGTTCAGAATACACTGACATGGACTTTTTGGATACTATAGTTTTTGTAAGGATTTTTGTGTCACAGTAACATGTCTAATATTTTAGTTTATATTTCATAACAAACTTTTTCACCTTTAGTGCTGGTGTCGGTCGGACTGGATGTTTCATTGTCATCGACGCCATGTTGGAGCGCATTCGGCATGAGCGTACAGTGGACATATATGGTCATGTGACTCTGATGAGGTCACAGAGGAACTACATGGTGCAGACAGAGGACCAGTACAGCTTCATCCACGAGGCCCTGCTGGAGGCTGTGGCCTGTGGGAACACTGAGGTGGCTGCCCGGAGCCTGTACTCTTACATGCAGAAGCTGTCCAAAGTGGAGAGTGGAGAGCATGTCACCGGCATGGAGCTGGAGTTTAAGGTAACCAATGCACCTTTTTTTTTTTTTTTTTTTTTTTTTTTTAATCTACTCAGTCTCCACAGTAGTAGTTTTAGTACTTGATTAGTCATGATTATTACACTGGCAAGCCACTAAGCCACACCATGTTCAGTATTTTGACAAACACCTTTGAGCTTTTGTGGTAAGTTTTTGTACAAATTTGGTCAATTCCTCCTAATGTGGTTCTAAAATCTGTGGAACTGAATATTCAAGATCCCGGACTAAATAGTGGAAAGTCAAACCAAACCAGTTCCAGCTTCTTGTGTATGCAATATAAATATGCTGTAAATAACAGTGTGCTTGTGGATTGGTCATGGTCATGAAATTAACACAAGCAGTTAATATTTGAGTGTTTTCATTAAACTCATCAGGCTCATCCTTTGAAGTGCTAAATATGATTACATAATGTGATTTTTTAAACAGTTTGTTTTCAATCATTTTCTGAGCTCTCAGATATATTGCCCCATTTCACATTAGCCAACACATGCAAATGAGCCTAATTTAACCTGCATCTCAGCAAGCATAATCAGTTTTTCCACAGAGCCACTGTGATCACACACGCTTGTTCCCTTTCCCATTTGCAGCGTCTGGCGAACACCAAAGCCCACACATCCCGTTTTGTCACAGCCAACCTGCCTTGCAACAAATTCAAGAACCGACTCGTCAACATCATGCCCTATGAGACCACCCGTGTCTGCCTGCAGCCAATCAGGGGCCTGGAGGGATCGGACTATGTCAACGCCAGTTACATAGATGGATACAGGTATGTTGCAAACACTAATATGACCTGACCCCTTCGTCCTCTTATGATAGCTTGACGAGTGACCGGATTGGATAGGTTTTCACTGCAATGCCCCCTCCTGTCTCGTCCAATCACGTCTGTCATCACTGTGTACACATTCCCGCTGCTATGGCCTCAGTGAAGGGACGTATGGGGCATTGCTTGTGATGATTCAGCTCCTCACACTAGTTATACATGCATGTGTTTTGACTGCTCCTGTATTTGGCCTCAAGCTTAACTTGGGTGAAGTTTAAGTCCTGACTAAGAAGTAAGAAGTCAGTGGCTTGATACTTGTCTTGTAATGTGTGGGCAGGCAACAAAGAGGCTACATCGCCACGCAAGGTCCACTGGCTGAGACCACAGAGGACTTCTGGAGGATGCTATGGGAACACAACTCCACAATAGTGGTCATGCTCACCAAATTGAGGGAGATGGGACGGGTATGGAAACACACAAGCACTTTTATATCACTTTGCTCTTGGCACTGGGTCCTAATGATTGTTTTCTGTTGTGGTCTCTCAGGAGAAGTGCCACCAGTACTGGCCTGCGGAGCGCTCAGCCCGGTACCAGTACTTTGTGGTGGATCCCATGGCGGAGTACAACATGCCTCAGTACATCCTGCGGGAATTCAAAGTTACAGATGCAAGAGTAAGTTCAGTGTGATTCTTTGACTTTACAGACTCTGGTCAGCTTGATGTCCTGCTCCTTCTGTCAGCATTGTTAGGAGGCAGTAGTGCAAGGCATGTCCTATCGACCACTGCAGTTATTTATGTGAATATGTGTAGCACCACAGGTTAGCCTTGCGCTATCGACAGCCTGCCCCCCACATCACTCATCCATTGTGCTGTCTCCACCTTATGCCTGTTTGCTGATGTGTGCCCTACGCCAGTCATAGATAACTCAAGCCAAACCAGGCCTGTCCTGACGCCACTTCGACAGATGCTGTATTGATCCCCATTAAAGGGGAGTCAGAAAGGCTGAGCAGAAAAGAAGAAATGTAATTGCTTACTGAGTGGTTGACAGTAGAAGACGAAGAGATGTTACAGCTCAGAGTTAACCACAGCCACTGATTCAGGGTCAGATAACAGTAATCATTAGATGGAGCAGGGATATTGCCTGGCAGTCTTTCTCCTAGTCAATAAGGCAAGAAAAAGCTCTTTCAATGGCCTTTTGCTGTAATTACTTTCCATAAAAATTATTCATGGCTAATGAGTTTGCTTTACATAGTTACTAGATGTAATTTACTGTTTTGTTAATGATAAGCAAAGAGCCCCAGGTGCAATAAAAAGGGGGGTGGGATGCTGTGAAATAATCTCATTTATAAAATGGAACAATTATAAAAACACAATACATAAAGCTGAATAATAACATTGTGCTTGTATGTAATCAAATTCTCATTACAATTAATGTTAAAAAAGTAATTACTATGATATATTTTTATGTTTTTTATCTTTTAGGATGGCCAGTCTCGCACAGTACGCCAGTTCCAGTTCACTGATTGGCCAGAACAAGGCGTGCCCAAATCTGGAGAAGGCTTCATAGATTTCATCGGTCAGGTGCATAAAACAAAGGAGCAGTTTGGGCAGGACGGTCCCATCACTGTCCATTGCAGGTAATTACAATGACAATTATAAATCAGTGCAGCTGTGGAACAGTCAGGGTACATTGTATACTACTGTATACTACTGTAAACTGCAGCTGATAGTTTTGGTACTTTCTTTCTTCAGCGCTGGTGTGGGGCGGACAGGTGTCTTCATCACTCTGAGTATTGTTCTGGAGAGGATGCGTTACGAAGGGGCCGTGGACATCTTTCAGACTGTCAAAATGCTGCGCACTCAAAGACCAGCCATGGTGCAGACTGAGGTAAGCACAGTCACAAGCCCTTTGATCAGTATGCTTCAATTTAGTGACTGCATTAATTACACGAGATTCATAATGTGTGTTTAACCATGAATGTGATAAATGTATCACTGCGAGTTATTTACGGATTACCCATGGAGAATCAGACCTGTATATTGGTAGTACCAATACTATGCATAGTAATTGTTGCACACTAGAGTTACAAATATAGTATGTTTAAAGGTGTACTATGTACATTTTTCATTAGGGTTGGTCATCTTAAACAGCACTACTTTACATTCATTCAGGTGGTTTTATAGCTCAAAATTACCTAAAAAACAAGCGTTCTGACTGTGAGCGAGTTTGTCTCTCAATAGATCTGACCTGTAAGATAGAAAGGTTTAATACCATACTGTGAAACATTCCAGACAAAGCATTACATATCAATGGAGAGCATGGAAAGCGTTTGATGGGCCCTTCACCTTTAATGCAGCTTTGAATATACTGAAAAATAGCCAAGATGTTTTAATACAATTTTATTTGTCTTGCCAAAAATAAATATAAATTGATTCAATACTAATTATATTATATGTCACAATATATATTAGTTTAATAAGAATTTTAATCATTGCCATTAACTATCACAAAATTATAATATTTTTTTCCTCCAAAGGCTGTAGTCTGCTTCTAACTATATGTTTTCACTGACTGAGGACTGGCTGTGGATCTCTCTATTAAAAAAGATCAAGTGGATCATTGATGATTAGAAATGATCTATCATGATTAAATGTCTGTTAATGGCCAAATCCTATACTGAAATCTAACTTGTAATTACAGTATATTTTAACATTTTTTCCATTGAATTTTGTGCTTTGATTACATTATGCCCCTTCCCCCAGTCTTTAAATACTCTCTAGTGACTAATTCATTAAATAATAAATTACACCATTAACTTCCATTTGCATTTAACACTTATTAATATACATTGCCGTATACATCAATATTAAAGTATTATTAATAACTGTTCCCTCTGTCCCCACAGGATGAATACCAGTTCTGCTATCAGGCTGCTCTGGAGTACCTGGGTAGCTTTGATCACTATGCAACGTAGGCAAACAAGACCACCATTCCATCTATCTTTCCTCTTCGAAGGAAACGTCAGAGAGAGTGAAAGAACGAAAGAAAGACAACTCGAAAAATCTGCGAATATTGAACTTCTTGGAGCAAAGAATCAAAGATGAATCCTACACCTACTAAGGACAAAAAGCACCAACACAAACACAAGCAACAAGATTTCTGTGTAGCGCCCACACTCGTCAGACGGCTTCCTCTAGGGGGCTCCACTGAGATGTATTTGTGGGTGTGGAGACTGTCATGTGTAATCCATATACTTACCTCAGTGTTCCAGTGTGAAGGACTTACTATAATACATGTGTGTTGTGGTCAGCTATCTACAATATGAAACAGTGAAATTACAAGCGGCTTCAGAACAGGAAATATATGTGTATAAAAAAGCAAACAAAAATACAAAGAGCCTGGATATTTGCTGCACCCTGAATGGGCTTTTTATCCTTAAACTTTGTAACTATGGTGAACTGAGGGGTTGTTAAGGTGGACATTTCTATATGTGTTCTTGCGTCTCTTTCTGGTTTTAAGCAGATGACTAGGCTGAGAAAGAGATCACTAACTAACTCGCCACCTTGAAGACAGAGGATGCTTACTTACAGCACAGTGCCAAGAGAAACCCTACTATGAACTGTGGCCTATGAGAAGAGATGGCGCCCCCTATCACCCCAGCGTAACACAACACCTGTGGCAAGACAAGAACAACTCAAGCTGGCACGGGAATCAGTTCACAAGTCCAAGGCAAACATCTGGCCTTGGGAGACATGTTAAAAGTCCATTGTACCCTCAACAGGGCTCAGATTTGTTGCCCAGTTCTATTCCATCATTCGCTCGCTTGCTATTTTGCTCTAGTCCTTGTTCATCCTCAAGCTCTTGATGTCAGTCTCATTTTGTTTCACTATAGCAGGGGCTCATTTAAAGAGACAAATGACTTGCACCAATCCAACAAAAAAGTCTATCACACACACAAAAAAAACATTTTCTTTCTTCTCGTGAATCAAAAAAGCACTTCAGCCTATACAGATTAAAGCTGTAATTTTATGTTTGCCTTACACCAACTGACATTTTTTTTAAACATGCTGCTTACTGGTTTTCCTGTGTCGTGTGCAATATTTTCCTCGTACAGTATCTGAATCGGAGGCAGGACTTACTGTCTGTCTCTGAATTATCAAGAAGCATAGCCACTTTTGTAGGACATTTATGAGCAAATACTATTCAAATGACCTACCCTCCCAAATCTTTACTCAGAGCAGTTGATGTATCCCTTTATTACTAGAACCACTGCACAATGCTTTTGCTAAATGTTGTTATGTTACATACACAGATCAGGCTTTAACATTATGACCATATCTCTACAGTATATCAAGGAACGAAAGGTTTTAATGCACAAAATACGCAAGCCAACAGTTTTTGATAGTAGTACGATAATGATGATAGTTTGATGATTGGCGCATTGTCAGCACAGCAAGTGGTCGTGGTGTTAATGCCTGATTTGTGTACAGTGGGTCCCATGTGGTGTTTTAGGAGCACACTGGTCAGATTTTTGTACATAACAGTCGGCCATTACAGTCCCTTACAGTACAAGTACAGTCTGAGCACAAGATATTACGTACATGGGATCAAATGTGTCGTAGTTCTAATCGTCTCAAAAAAGCCTTATTGTTATCTTTGTCATATTTATTTAATGTCTTTAAATATATTTATGAATTCATTTTGTTTTTACTAATGTTTGTTTTTTATTAATTTATTTGAAAATATAGCAAATATAACCAATAAGATGTCGTTTAGTTGGCGAGCCATTGTTAAAGTGTATTGTCATTGATGTTTTTTTTTATATTTTTAATGGCAGTTTTGGTGCTTTTTTATTTGCTATGCCCTCTGTGTAGGGTGCTATTTGATACTGATGTCTGTTTAGTTTAGCAAGAGATGTACATTAGACCAAGGTTTGCAGTAGTTTACAATGGTGCCGTAAGGACGCTCCCCTCAACATTCTTTCACCAGTACCTGAGGTGTTCTAGGGCATCAGAAAAGCTAGTTATTTAGAGAATTGTTGGTAAATAAACCTCAACAAGGGGTTACTATTTAGTTTGCTGGGAAGCACATGGTAGCAAGTGTATTTTTCTGACAGAGAACGGGTGAGAAGTGCCCACATTTACATCCCTTGTTTAAAATCTGAAATTATTCTAGTATAAAAACTGTGTGTGGTCCAGAAGTCTTGACCGTGTGTGACATATATCAAATATGTTATCTCTTCGATTTCTAATAATTATTGTGTCAAGAGAAATATTGTGGCGCACACGCATACAAGCTGCATAAAAGACGTGTGGAGGGCCAGCTCTGGTGATGCCATCCCTTTCACTTCTGTACCTGTTCTTTCCTTTCAACTATGGATGTAGATATTGTACCTGGACTTGTATTAAAAGCAGGATGATTGGATATACAGCAAACATGCAGTGACTTTGGGTGTTGTTCTTTCATGGGCCACAAGATGGGGACAAAACAATTTAAAATCACATTAAATCCTCACAGTAAAGTCATTCATGTTTTACACACAAACACACATAAACACAAAAACTTTACTCGAGCAAAAGTACTCTCAGAGTAATGGGTGATCAAAACATGTATTTAAGTAAATTGTATACCTAAAGAAGATTGGAAATGTTGGAACTTAGTTCTACAACTGCTACAATAACACTTCTGTGGCATATGCAAAATTATAGAGATGTTTGGCTAGTGAAATTAGAAATGCACAGATGTGCACTGTAATTTCTATCAGAACTTTGTGTCTTCTTATTATGTGGTGCTTTTGAGTGGTTCTGATTTGTTATCAGAAGCCACATACACTTTACATTCATACATAGTAGATGCATTTTTTGTTATAGAAAACTCTACATACTATAGTACAGCTATGATTGAGATAGTTAAGATTAAAATAAGATTAAAGGTCTTATCTGGATTCTGCAACGTATCAGACAACAACAAACTCAGGTGACCTTTGTAATGGTTGGACAATGGGAAAATGAGAAGGCATCACCACATCAACCAAAGGAAACACGCTCACAACAAGTACCTAGATAATACATTTAAAACCATTAAATGTCACTTCTATTGTAAAACCTGCATGATCATCTTACACAGACAAGAATCCAGCAATCATCGTATCTCACATAGGCCTGTTTGACCAGACAGCACAAACACCTCACTCCAGCAAACAAACCGAAACCATCCTCCACAAACCTAATATTTGCACCTAAATATAGACCAGAGAAATACATTTTAGTCATTACTGTATTATAAACACAATTTACAGTGTTATATGATATCCAAGTTGACCATCATTTCCACATGTAGAATGTAGATTCTTCTGCATCTTTGTTTCAAAGAGCCAGTGTAATCTGAGTTGCTGCAGGCAGAGAAGATAAAGGGCATAATCCTTCATGAGCTCTGGGTTAACATTGACAGTAGGTGTTCAATGTGAGAAGCCTCTGCACCGGAAACAAGGAAAATGACCTTTGAGGACATTTGCATTCTTATTGTGCACAATTCATCAGGACCTATGCCTTTAGGTATTCAATACTTCACCACTCAACCAGACAGTATGTGTTTAACCCGAGGACAAAACACAAAGATGTGCATGTATTTATAACACTGCAAAAGCAGTACTTTACAAATAGTTGATTAAAATAGTTTGTATTCAGAAGCTGGCCCCGTTAGACCCTTGACAGGCCTTGGTGGTTTCAAGGGCCCGCCAACTAATAACCGTCTAGATAAAACATTTAATTGGTTTGGACTGTCCTTGTTCCAATCAAAATCCAATGCGCCACAGAAAGCGTTTCGACCGCCTCCACGTGCACCTGATGTCTATCGCTGTGGGCTGAGCGCGAGACACACCGACCGCACTGCCACCGCACCGCACCCGTCCTGCGCGTAAGGGCACGTGTGCCAAACAGGAGCGCGGCGGCATCTGTTTGCGTTCACTTGCACTTGTCACTGATTGGTCAGATTATATCATTGCCACGCCCCTTGATCTGTTCGAGCGCATGTACATGATTTCTGCAGTGATATAGTCGCATTCACTTTTGGTTTGGATTAGTGTAACTAACTCTAATCTGTAGAACCAGATTCTTTGTACTAAATAGTGCTTAAACTACTTCTTCCCTGATTCAGCCTACTACACCTGCTAAATGAGTCTGAAGAAAAGAAAGTTTTCCCTGGACAGCTCTGTGTGAGTATAAACTGGCTTTTTGAAACCTTTAGTGCCAAAAGTCAAGTAAATCCAGTTATTCTCTCAACACTTTTGCTCATACACTACTGAATCCTATTACTATTGCCTACTGCAAAGTTATTGTTATAGTAGTTGTAAGTATGTTTACTGGATCGCAAAATGACATTTCATTACAATAAAAAATGTTTATAATATAGCAATGGGCAGTTATAATACAGTAGCTGTCATCACCACTTGAATACTACTACTACTGCTTAAAACTATAATATAACCACAAAACACAATGATGACATGATATAATGTCACTTCTCCGTCTTGGTTTGTGGGGGCAACAGTCTGGAGGGAGTGGGTCTGACCAAAGGACGCAGGGGCAGTTTGAAGAAGGGCCGACCACAGCAGAGTCTGGATGAAGCTAGACAGCACATCCAGGAGCTCAACCAGAGCCTTTCAGCAAACACCTTCAGCAGGTACAGTATATACTAGTACGATAATGCAAGACAACAATACAAGAAACAAGCAGGTTTAAAACTAGATTCAATATATTTCTTTGTTTTCCCCAGGGATGACTCTATCGCTGAGGAGAGCTTAGAGGGAACTGATGTTAACAGCAATGTAAGACCTTTGCTTTTATAAAAATGTTTGATAGTACCTATACTAAATACACCATCACTGCATGTATCATAGAAACCAAACTGATCTTAATAAAATTATATATTATATAGTTTACATTTATTTATGAGACAGGGACACAATGTACATTAACCTGCATGTGCATGTTTTAGGTTTATTTTTAGGTTTTTTATTCAGAGCACATCCTTAATTTAAAAAAAAAAATGTTAGGATGGAGTTTCTACTAGTGTAGTGATCTACTCGTAGCAAATTCATTTTTAGCTAACCTAAAATTGGCTAAATTGCTTTTTTCCCCTTTTGCATGAAAAATTATTCTCATAGTACAAATGTGAGCTTCATCTTCACAAACAAATCTCTTCTTTGGCCTCTCCCTACTTGTCTCCATGGAAATATTGTTCCTTTGGCTATAATCTTCCACATTATTGCATAAAATGTATTTATTGCTATAGGGAGAATGCTCTGAAGTTTTACTTTATATTTCCATGGAATCCTGCAGATGACATGCCACCACTAGAAAGTTACACTGTATTGTTTTAAACAGAGTATTATTATTTATATATATATTTTTTAAGTACAACCAGTAGCTCCTGCACTGTAGAATAACCTGCTCTGTCTGAAACAAATACTCGACTGTGGTCCTAACTGAATGGAAAGTCTATGATGCATGCAGCGCTTTATCCCATTGTATGTCAAATTAAATGCTATTATCTCATCAGCCAGAACCTGCTCGATGCCCATTCCCTCACATTTGATTAGACTAATCACCAGAGCATTTCCCTGCAGATCCTCAAGTACAACAAGAGCTTCCACAAACTGTTCCCAGAGATTCCTGATGGAGAGAGCATGAGCCACAGTGAGTTCATACAGGGTCGGCCTCTCTCCCCTCACTTATTCACTCATATCAATTCACATCACATTGTGTCCTTCCCGCGGTTTGTCTCTAATGCCTTTGCCAACTGATTAAGTGCTACAAGCTGCTCAGTATGCCCAATGGCTGTCGCTGGATTAGAAGCTATACAATGGTTTTCATAGTGAATTATTCAGCATGCACGCCTCCTGTTGTTAGGGCGACATTTTGAAAACAACGTTTGTTCCATTCTTAAAACTGCGTGTTGCTTGCAGCTTTCACCTGTGCTTTGCAAAAAGATGGGCTCTATCACGGGAAACTATTTGTGTTGGAGAACTATGTGTGCTTCTATTCATCTGTGCTGCTTAAAGAGACAAAGGTAAAAATACAAAAAAATTTAACAATACAAAAATATATGATTTGTTTTAATACTGCCAAATCTTACAGGTGGTCATTCCTGTGTCTAATGTGAGAGAAGTAAAAAAACACCATTCAGCCATGTCTTTGGTCATTCAGTCTACGAATGGAGAAAAGGTACGGCAAATCACTAACGCTGCCACATAGAAAAGTAGCTTCAAAACAATTTATACAATACATTCATTGGTAATAAATTTGATTCAGTTTAGGAAAAGTAATAGGGGTATAAAGCAAAAGGCAAATATGTACTGACTGGTGGAGGGTCCACCACCTGCCTATTTCCACAATGAGATATTTTGACTTTATTCAGAATGTTCCAGAGTATGCATTTAACTTATATATCTTGCACTTATTTAAGTGTGTGCTTCTAATTTGCTCAAAAATAGAGGAGAAAGGCATTCTTACAGTGAGCAGGGTCACCTGCCACCCAGGAGGCATTTCCTGCTTCTTTCCATGGATTTAGATAAGTTTAAACTATGGCACATTTCAGACAAAGGATTAACATCTCTATAGAGACATGCAGGTGGCAGATGCTCTGCCTGAAAAGTTACATAATGAATACTTTCTTAAAGGTGCACTTTCATCTTGACTGTCATTTTGCCAGTCACATTGCATGATTTTGAAATGTGACTCTTTGACCCAGTAAATAAAGATAGTTAGAGATTATATCACAAATATGTTTAAACTGATAAACCCATGTGTGGCATGCAATATTTTGGTACAGTTACGTGTGATTCTAATTCCTTAAATGCGTCTGGCCAACTAAGACATTTTAACATATCTCTAACCCTGAGACTAGATCAAAATACATTAACATTATGATTCAGTTAAAGATTATATTAAAGATAGAGAGGTTGTTAGAGGTTGTGGCACTTTGTCTGTCCTACAACTATCTATGATAAACCTTTCAGGAATACACAGAAGAATTTAATCAGGGAAGTATGTGCTGTAGACAATACAAAGTAAAGTCTTGAAATTACAAGCTTGTCTTGCAGCTGTTCTCCAGGATATCAAAACATTTACTTTTGTATAAAGTGTGCCAAAAATAATTTAAGGTGTACATTCTTAACTGTCCTCATTTGAACCCAGTCCTGGACTGGACTTGATTTGCTCCAATTCTAGGCCTAGTCTAGTCATGGGTTTGGTCCCAATTTTGATGACGTTGCAAATTAATTAAATTTATAATTGTGATTGAAATTATTGCTCATTTTATTTACAGAAATGTTGTAGTCAAAAATACAATGAATTAACGTTTGTTGAGAATAATATGTTCTGCCCCGTGAAACCAGTTGGAGCAATTGTACAGTGGCTTTGAAAGCTAAAGTGTCACAAAACACAACAGTGACAGTGAAGAAATAATTGTTTGAAATAATAGTTATTTCAGTTATGAGCCAATTAAACCTGATTATGATTCACTGAATGTGATGATTATAAGGCAGTGGCGGTTTTTGCACACTATACTCAGACAACACCTTCTGAGCACACATTCTTCATCTTGTAATAATTAACTATAGTCTAGTGTTGAGCTTACCCTGTCCCTATGCAGTTAGCTGGCTTCACACAACAAAGTAGCTAAGTTGTATACCCTTTGGATTGCTTCTTAAGAACTGAAGCTCAAAGGAAAGGAGGCAGAACTTTTTGTTTTATGTTCACTTCCTCCAAACTGTCTACTTTCTAACTTTGACCTGCTTCTTCTTTTCCTGCCAGTACTTGTTCGTGTCCCTTATGAACCGTGGGATGTGCTACAAACTCCTCCAAAGTGTCTGTTCACATGCACTAGTAAGTCCATTTATTCCACCATAAAGAGTCAAAAAAGTGTAAAATATAAACAATTATGTAATACCATTGCAGGCAGAGAGCACCAACAGTAGCCCACGTGTCTCATCTGGAGAAAATGAAGTTGATTATGATGTGGTGAGTCAGCCAGTGTTACGTTAAGCATATGACTAGCCAACTATAATGTCTGCATTTTTGGAATGTGCTAGATCTCCTCCAACTCAAGTATGGAAGACAGTTTTGATAATCGTCTAAGCAGGGAGAACAGTATCAGTTATGATGACTTTCCAGAATTTCCTCGTGAAGGTAGGCTTTGAAAACCTGAAATATTATCTGTGTAAAAATCACTCTTTTTTTTTTTTAACATATCACTTCTCTGCCATAGTTCAATCAAGACTGACTCCCCCAAGTCAAAATATCATAACAGACCAAGGAGGCAACAGAGGTATGGCTAATGTGACCATATACTGTATATAATAAAGTCAGATTTTAAAAGTAAAAATCAGTCATTAAAGGGCCCGTATTAGACCATTTCCTGATCTATGCTGTGTTGTTTCCTCATCACAAACAAACCTGGAGTTGTGTTTTGTTTCATTCACATGTTTAACACACAAACCTTGAGTTCTTCTCTCAGAACAGAAAACACTCTGTTCCACCTTGTGATGTCATGTGGTAATACAGGAAGTCCTCCACTGTGTTTAACTCCATACACCTTCACTAGAAACATTTGGACAATTTTAGGCCTGGAATTGCCCATCTCTACTGAACTCAATGTAAAAGTAGCTGTTAACTTGAAAACTACTGCTTCATTAAATCACAAGGTGGAGCAGAGCATTTTGAGCTTTGGAGAAAGACAGACTAATAATAATAAAGGATTACTCAAATGTGTGAATGTAACCAAACACAACTCCAGGTATGTTTTTGATGAGTTGTAACATTCTAACATGTTTAAAAGTTTACAAGTTTGCACAGTCAATTATGTAAATATTGGACCTTTAAGTATTTTGTAACCTGCAGGGTGGATTACGAGAGCAGCCAATTGTATTACATCATTCTTCATCATCAGTGAAATCAGAAATGTCCATGTTCTCTTTTATGCCTACATCATACTGTAAGTGTAGTGTGTAAGTGTACAGTATTTGTATAAGTATACGTATATGTTGGCTCATCGTCCTGATATTTCCTTTTAGAATACTGCTGCTGCTTTTGGCCTCCGGCTACATTGGCCTGAGGATCATTGCTTTGGAAGAACATCTGACCTCTCTGAGCTCCGTTGCACCAGCGTCACACTATACACAGTAGGTCTGACACTGGCATAATCACTGGTCTAAGGTGCTTTAAAAAACCATTACATCCTGATGAGATAAAGAGTCGCCCTACTGGTTTTAGCACCGCTGATAACATTCCACTTGTCACACCCAAACGGCTTGTTTTGTATAACTACACACTGTAACCAGAGCCTGGAGTCTACAAGGAAATGAACACTTTGTCTTTTTCAGATACAAGGAGACATAAGCAGCATGAGCACAAGAACAAGGCTTCAAGGACCTCCATCTTTTGACATAATCAATCCATGTCTAGACAGTCTCCCTTTAGTATTGTAACGCGGAGCCATGGCAACAAACTGTACAAAGCATTAAACTATTTATTTACAAACAAAAAACCACTGAGTTAATACCACTAATGTTGCAAAATTGTACTGACTGTACATCACTCAAATTAGAATTTACCAAATATTTGTTTTTTGTTTAAAAAAGAAAAAAAAAAAGCTTTCCTGTGTGGAGCCATATGGACGCAGTCAGCCTGAAAGCCTGTTTATTTCTGGCCCGTAAAATGCTGACTGAGCACAGCAAGCAGGCTGTCTGGCGTTTGAATGTCATTTTATTTTGAATGGACAGACCATTTCCAGAAGAAGGCAGGATTTTTTTTTTTCGTGTAAAGGATCAATTAGCAATATTATATGCATTTAAATTGCCACAGAAGATAACATTTTAGGCCAGCAGAGGGCAGTCACGGATTGAGAAAAGAAATGCTTCAATGGAAAAAGATTTAGCCGCTGGCCTCATTTTAACTGCCTGTTTAATTATGTAATTAGACATGTAGAACATCTTTTAATATTCTTTTAAATGTTTGTACATTAAAATGAATCAAGTCATATTCTTACTTTCATATAGAAGTGTTTTTTTTTATTTGTCGTCGATAAAAAGGTCAAGATTTCGTCCCATTAATTAATATCATTACATCATATTCTCAGTTCAAAAAGCAACATAAAATTACAAATAATACAAAGAATAGAATAGGTAAGTACAGTAACCATATAAACAGTTCACTAATGTAGTCTAGCCCTGCCCGCTGTCCATGTCAAACTCTAGCACAAAACTCAATACATCAGTAATAAAAAAATTAAAATAAACGTCCCATTTTTAAAAAGCGCATTATTATTATTATTCCAATGCCATGAGTTTAGTTTGACCCTCACATAGAATACATATTAGAGCTTACACCCACCCTTTACTTGCTCTTCAAAACACAATAGACATGCATACTGTTTTTTTTACTGCTCTACCCCACACCCCACCCCACGAAGAAACATTCAGGGCCAGAGGAGAATATAACCATAGTGGTGAATCAAAATGTTAAGAGACCCCCCTCCCCAACCCCCCTTTTTCTCTCAGCCCCATAAAAAGTGGATCCAGTGGTTTCCCTGAAAAAGATGGTAACAGATTTCCATTTCTTAAACATAGTGCAGAATGAGGATGGACTGTTCTCCCTGCATGAGCTGATGAGCAGAGAAGTACACAGGCATCTTGTTCTCCAAAAGAAGTGGAGCAGCCAGATCAGTGCTACTTTAAAAGGTGCACTATGTAACTTTTCTAACTGAGGGTGTACCATGTGCTTGTCTCAATGGAGATGTTATCGCTTTTCCCAAAATGTCTCACTGTATGGCATTAAACCTATCCATCTCCAGGGAGACAAGAAGCAAGTGACACCACCAGTTACAGGTCACATCTGTGGAGAGGATCGGAGTACAAACACGTGTTTTCAAGCTATTTTTTCCCAAATAAAACACCTGTAATTGAAACATAAGATAGGTGTAACATTCCAGGCAAAGCAATAACATGTACACTGAGACAAACAAGTGGCAGACCCCTGGAGGAAAAGTTACCTAGTGTACCTTTAATGTGTGTCACCTTAATATGACCACTGTAGATCACTGAATGTACTGATGTGCTGGGACCACATATATTCAAGTTTACACCTCTGTTAGTAATGTTACCATGGGAGGTATCCATGGACTATCTATTCTGCTGGCCCACAATTGTCAATTACAATGAAAAAAAAAAACAAAATAAACAAAAACAAAAACAAAAAAACACACAAACTTACATCTTATACCCTTATTACACTTTGGATGCTTTTTACAATAGTGCTGAACTTAAGACCTGCTTTTTCATGCTTGTTCCAATATATATATAAACATGTCAATATACTGCACAGTACAGTATATGTTTGTGTATGTGTGTACATGATTGTGATGATGTGCAAAGGTCTTGTGTGGTGGAACCCGCACCACACCAACAGTGACAGGCTCAAAGATGAGAGCGTCGTCCGTACGATTTGGGCCACAGAGGTTAGAAACAGAGCTATGATGTCACTGTCCTGGCGCCCAATCAGAAATCACATTGATACTCATCACATTTTACATGTATGGTTCTAAACAATCAGTCTATGGCCCTACGCTACGACAACACACAACATGATCACCTACATTAAGAAATATGCTTGACAGATATGACTGCAACTGGGAACGTGTGCAGTAAGACTATAGGGAAGCCAATTTCAGATTAAAACAATAGCTTTCAATTCGCATTTTAGAAAAGTGGATCAAGTTGTCTTCTTACAATTATATCCTCCAACTGAATGCTAAAAACAGCTGCACTGCATTTGAGACTCAAACTTGGTCTTGCAAACACCTGTTGTTTCCAAGACAGCAGTTATCAAAATCTCAGTAAGAAATAAAACCCATGACTTTCGGTTGTGTAAAACTAGCAATATCCACAGTGAGGACCTATTTACTTATCAATACTAGAAGAACCTGTGACTGCTTATCCATAAAGCAATAGCGCAATTACTTACAACTGGTGAGTAATAAAAAGCAGCCAAGGACAAATGGACGACATGGATGGTGGCCATTTTATATGGTTCCCAGCAGTAAGAAATTAGCAGAATAAAAGCAAGGAGAGGCCCATCAAGCTAGGAGTGTCTCAGACAAGTCTCTGTATGTCCACTTTAACTGACACTAAAGAGGAACACAGTCTAGAAGGGAGGCGCCTAGAGTTCAAAGGTCGATTTAAGCAGAGAATTAGCGAGGATGACACATGCTTGACCAATAGTTAGTCCACTGCACAGGAGTTAAGTGGTCAAGCTGTGGAGGTATTCTTATACAAAAGAAAAAAACTAAATAAAAATAAAAAAAATACACCATGATTTAAAAGTCTCCATTACACCTTCCCTTGATGCAGCGCTCCAAGTCATCAGGAAGTCCTTCATGTCACATAGATAGCGTCGACACAGTTACAGTTAATAGTGATATGATTTTACACTTTCATTCATAGCAGCATTCACTCATAAAATGACATCTGTGTGCCTTTGGACAAAGCTGTTACTTTAAAATACATTAAAGCTGTAATTTCACTGGTAGGAGATGTCAAATGCCCCATGAAAAGTAATGACGATATTAATCTTAGTGTATGTGTACATTAAAAACTTGGTTGTAAAAGATTTTTTTAAAGTAACATAGAGTGCTACTTTAAAGACACACAGATGTGACAAATCAAGCAGAATTCCCTTTAGACACTCGTTCCACAAACATACCAGTATCACATCTCGCTCTCAGGAGGCTGTAAAAATGCAGAGGCGGCAGTTTGTTTTTCAGGCGTGTTGTGCAGCCAGGTCCTGGTTGATGAAGCGCCGTAGTCGCTCCAGGTACTGGCTGTAAAGTTCTATGTCGTTATGCCCTGCCCCCTCCACCCACAGTGGCTCCACGGCTTTGGGACACCGCTCAAACAACGCCAGGCCGTGAGAGAAGTCGATCACCTCGTCCTCTGTACCGTGGATGATCAGAACTGGAGACGGAATTTTGGCCACCTTCTCAATGCTAGGAACAAATGTACACATTACAAAAACCTTCATTGCAAAACTTTTCTTATCTTAACCTTTCCGACCTTTTAACTGCTTAAATATTGTGTTATATAAGGAGAGAATACTCACTTGGGGAAGGCATCAAAGCAGTAGGTTTTCTTGGTGTCAGGGAAGGCCACTCTCATCCCAGAGGTGAGTGGAGAGTGCAGAACCACAGCAGCACACTCAAAGCGTGAGGCCAGGTCCACTGTGGGCACTGTACCGATGCTCTGCCCATACAAGATGATGTTCTCAGGGCTGATGCCATACCTGCAACACCAAATGACTGCTAACTAAGTCCTTCATATATAGTATTATACATAGCATATTAATCTTAAATTCCAGTTTAGCTATGAAAAGGATAGTTTGAACAACCACCACATCAACCATTTTAAATCCAATCAAATCCACTGTCAATATTTTTATGAAACTGTCAACAGAGAATCAAGAAAGTACAGGGAATTATACCGTGAGCGCAATGCATTCCAGGCAGCATCAATGTCAGCATAGAGGTTTTTCTCTGAGGGTTTGCCAGTGCTGACGCCATATCCCGAGTAGTCGTAGGAGAAGATGTTACAGTTGATGCGTGTTCCTAAACCAATGTAGAAACTGCTCATCTGACCAAGGTCTACAGCGTTACCATGTGAGAACAACACAGTGAACCTGGAGAGTCAAGCAAGAAGGATAAAGTCAGTTTAATTCTACAGGTTAAAGAAAGCACCAGCAAGCTTACTACTAAATATTGGTATTCATTTTCATCATTTAAAAAATAAACACACTGATGGTTTTATCACAGCAATCACTTATACTGGTCTTTCATACTGAATAATGATGATAATAAAATGCAAGTACACAGTAAAACCTTCAGTTCCAAGTTTGTTCAGACTTGTGGACTGACCTGGCATTGGGCGCACAGCGGATGTACATGCATCCCACACGGTTGCCTCTGCTGGAGCGGGCCAAGAACACATCAGTCACATCCAGTTCTCTTTGGGAGTACTGGAACTCTGCTCTCTCCGTGAGATGTAGCTTCCACCTAGGCTCACCGATGCTGGTGCTGGTACCTCCACCTGCTGTGCTGCCACCTCCCCCTCCTCCCCCCCTGTCACCTCCCCTCTCGCTTCCACTTCCAGCCCCCAGACGTGCGCGCAGCCCTGGAGCCCCCAGCGATGGCAGTGCAGGCCCCGAGCTGGTCTCAGTGGTAGAGATTGGAGTGGGGTCCAGATCTGGGATGAGGGCATAGGTGGGCTCAGGAGGGAGGAACGCCAGTTTGGCTGCAATGCGGCTGGGGCATGGCGGGCAGCAGAATAAGCAGCATAACTCCCGTATGGACAAGCCGTTCATTTTCTGGGGAGAGAATAAATCAAATGAGAAGATGGGTTAAGAAAGACACATAACAACAGCGATGCTTCTTGTCAATTATACAAAGATTGATTCACCATTTATGGGCTTATCAATAATGGATTTGTAGTGCTCAACTTTCCAATGTTAACTGATGTCAAAGCACCCAATCCCATATTTAAACATAAAGAAGATAATGCTGTACCTGAATGTGAAATCCCTGGCCTTTGAAAAGGGCATAAAGCAGCACCAAGGCTCTGCGCTCCAGTCACTGAACCAGCCAGATCTGTAGAAAAGAAAAGTATAGAAGACATTACTACTCACCCTAACTCTACACCGTGTGGCATTTTAACGCTTTCACTTTCCCTCTGAACTTATAAGTCAGCAAACTTAAAAGGGTGAATTAGACTCGCCGAACCACACTAAAATGTTATCACAGTCAAGAAAGAGGCCATGACCCGGATGAGCCACGATCCTCAAGACCAGTGATGATATGTGTTTACATTTCATCGCGCGAATTAGGGGCACATCAATTATAATGTATCAAAATGAAATGTGTTTTATTAACTTCATCATTCTTATCACTCTCAATTCTTTTTCATTATGGAGCTACACCTTAGTGGGGTCTGGTCAAGAATGACTAATTAAACACCCCCTCAGCAGAACGACAGGGACACTGAGGCTAATCGCGGCTACAACCCAAAATACAATAAAACCTCTGATACAAGCCTTTTGAGCCGAAGTAAAAACGAGTTCCTTCTATCAGCACAGATGAAACTATACACCAATGCAATTGCTGATATGTTACACGTTTCAAAATAGAAATATCTTCGGTACACAACATCGAATTATGAGCAATTTATCGCCAGCTACGGCTAGCAGAGCGAACAGCTAGCGGTGAATATCACGGTAGCACAACTAATAATTCAAATACTATAAACCTACCGATTTACAAATACTGTGTAGACAGACTGGTGTGTATCTATGGGTACACACGAGCAGCGCTTGACTTCGAAAACCCGCCGTATTTCTTGACATAGATGGTTTCCTCAAGCGTACAGACAGATATCGGTGGCTAGCTAAAATCCATTGCTACTAGATTTTTTTTTTTTTTTTTTTTTTTTTTTTTTACAACTGCGTCCTACCAATTCCGGAAATGACGTAGAAACGTGGCGCTTTAAAATTCTGCTCATGTTTTTATGTTTCTGATGACTTTTTTAGCATTACACAATATAAAAAAACATTTAAATTAGTAAATTTATATTTTGTGGCATAAAAGCAGCAGCACCAGAAACATAACTATTAAGTTTAGGTTAGGCTATATTTAGACCTTTAGACCTTTGCTATATAATAAAATGTTTGTTTACACACAGTAGAGCCAATGACTACAGACTGAGAATGGTGGCTTAAAGTTACATAAAGGCAATAAGTATATGGTAACTTCTTTTATTATATATCTGTATATATTATGTATGCATTATAATATTCCCTTTGCTTTTTAGGGTGACTTTTTAGCATCTACCCAGGGACAGCAGATGAAAAATAGTCGTTTAGGCTAATACTGGTACATTTAAAGAAATGTTTATTAATGTACATTCCCCTTGTGAAATAAAATATTAAAAAAATAATAATAAAATAATAAAATTAACTGAAGTTAGTTAATCTAGAAAAAACAACAACATTATAGCAATTATCAATGTCTTTGTTTTAAAATGTCCCACCTGATACTGCTGATACTCCTGTCACAGTAACCCCCATTGGTCTACAAGATATAAAAACATCAAACTATACTAGTATATTTGTTGAAAATCCAAATTGCTATTGCAAAAAGCTATATTGTGTGAGGATTCAAATTATGAAAGAGTCGTCTTTGTAGGAGCATTTTAAAAACGGTGCCAAATGGTCTGTACAAATCTAGCCTGTTTCTGTGCTGCGCGTGTGCACGTGAAAGAGAGAGCGAGAGACGGAGTGAGAGAGTCTATTCATCATTGATCCACTGCAGGACTGTGTTTCGGGGGGTGTGAATTATGGGCCCCTGCTGTCACTGTGCCTGCTCTGCGTTGGACATTTCACCTCGCCACTGTAAATTTAAAAAGAGGATTAGACCACATTTTGCTGACCATTGACTTCACAAAGCGTAGCCCGACCAAGTACAGACAATTGGCTGCGGGTCCCCCTGACTGAAGAATTACCTCAGTTCGCTATTGCACGATTTAGGATTGTGAGCGAGGCTGAAGAGACAGAACGCCTGGTGAAAATAGCAATTTCACAAAGGACCTGGAAGGAGTTTCACAAAAAAAAAAAAAAAGACGGTTTTGGTTGGTTGGGCGAATTGGACGCACTACTGAAGGGTGATGCTGCTACGGCGACGCGCAAGACCCACAGAGGGAAGAGACAGGTGAGGTGCGGCTGTGTGGAGCTGCTGCTGTTCCAGAGAACCAGTGGATATACGGGACCGAGCCACCCATCAGCCTTTAACCACAGATTGAGAAGGGAAAGAGGAGCGGAGAGGGCACCTGCTCAGCCTCCCGGTACCTGGCCATCTGCTGTGGTGAGTGAGCCAAACGGTTTCAGAGTCATTCAGACATAAATATGTAAGGGATCACTGGGCGTAGATAGAATAGACAGGTATACGGTGGGTGCGCATTGTATTGCTAGCATCTAACGCAATTGCTGCATTATTAGCAGCTCCTGTCTCTAGGCTATGTGTGCAGAGAATCGTCTGGACATTGCATGAAGTGGTCTTTGTGTCTCTTGCAGGTGTAATCTCTCAGCGTTAATCTGTATATTATGTTGTTTATTTCACGTGTTGAATAGGGGCCCCCAGTGTAGCCCAGATGTGAACTGATGCCTCAGCATTCAAGATATTTTGTAACACTGCATTGCACTGATGAGCACAAAGCCTCACTGAAATCCAGTAGAAGTAAAGATCCCAAATAAATAGCCCATCTTAAATACAGGAGGATCATTGCGCATTGTGTTCAAAAAACGTTTAATTAAGGTTTCCCGTGTCATATAGAGCAAAGGTCTGCTGTGATGATCTGGAACCATGAGGGCAATTGATTTTGTCATCAGTCACTTTCATCTGAGTGACAGGACTGACATTGCAAACCCACAGAGCAAACAATGTAAATATACTCTGAAGCAAACTTACATAAGAAATGGACAGAGAAACACAAGTGACAAGTGGCCAGTGAAAAGGCCCCTACAGGCCAAGTGTATGTGAAAGTGCTGCTGAACCAGCTCACACTTCAGTGATTTATAATGTCGTTTATTGTTTACAACGTCATCCCTTACACAACAGTTTTCCACAGAAGGACCACGTAGCCCCAAAGGCATGCTGGTGTGTTGTGTCTGTGTTTTTGTTGACCATCTGAGACAAAAAGACAGAGTTTCAGACAAAAGAGGGACTGAAGAGAGGAGACGCAGAAGATGGAGTGTGGTAGTTGTCAAATTGGTGAATAGAGTACAGGGGGTAGGCAGAGCATAAGTGACAGAAGCAAAAATGTGTAGCAGAAAGCCGAGGCTGCAGACAGCAGTCTGAGAGGCTGTGAATGGTCTCCCTGTTATCCCTGCTGCCCACACAGACAGCCTCACAGCAGCCCTGTGAGCAGGTGCTAACCCAACCACAAAGCAACAACAGGTGCAGCTACTGTTTCACCAGCTACCAAGCCCAACTCTGACTTACACCAAACCTCATGTGTACACTTGCATAATGTATACAATACTTAATACGAAAGCCCAGCTAAACTAATCTACTTATTTGCTTTGGGCAGAGTTAAAAGCTCTTGAAGCAATAAGCTATAACAGCTGCAGGTAAAAGGAGAGCTGGTATAAGCTGACTGCCCATGGGACCTTTAATGAGTTCTATTGATCACATACAGGTCCCTTTTCAATCACACATGTTAAACCACAAACAGGGCATCTGGGGCATGGGTGAAGAAGAAGAAACACTGCATGCCATGAGTAGGCAACAACAACCAGCGTGAAGTACATTTGGGTGGTTAAAGAGGAGCTCATTCCTGTAAATGACATAAGTGACTGAAATGGCTTTGTGTTAGATATGGAACAAGCCGAACATTCTGAAAATAGAGTGATGTAAGCTAACAGCTCCTGTTCCTACCACCCAGAGACTGTGTTGAGCAACCCGCGACAAATTGCCTCTCTTTACCCACTACAACTCTGACTCACTCCTGCCTCGGAACACTGCTGGGCTGTAATCGGCAAAATTCTACCATTTTATGTTTTAAGATGCCGCAAGACTACTGCTGTTATCTTATCTCGGAATACATTTGTGCTACAGTAAACAAAAGATTCACACATTGTTGGTTAAGCTATATATTCCCAGACTTGGTTGCCCATGTCCAAGTACTTAGGGAGTTAAGTTTTCACACAAAGTTTAGTGTTTTTCTTCAGCATGGAAGTGTGTGCACTTTAGGGCAGAGGATTCAGAGGTCTCAAACTGTGTAGGCATCTGATGAGAGAGTGGCCTATTACAATGAGACTCTGTCAGCAAAAACTCATGGGACTTTTACGAGGTTAGAGGTTAGGCATCATGCAGGTATTCTTCATTTAATTCTCAGAAGCCAGTTCAGGTTACACAATTACAATATTCCTGCAAACAGTTAAATATCTAAAAATAAAAGATATTATCCCGGAAGAGAACTTCACCATCGGCAACTACGCTAAATACTGTCAAGAGCACCACAACTAATGACTGGTTTAAAGTTTGGTTTAGCAGTGTGTAGTGAGGTACTGTATTATGTTGCATAAATCGCTTTCGAAGTATAGAGCATTATATCTGAGCATTATAATAGCTGTATCTCCAGTGATAATGTGCTTTTGCTTTTCTATCCCAGAGCTTCTTTGTACATAATGCAGTCTGCATCTTCTGACTGTGAATAGTCTGTTCAAACATAGAACAGGCATTGTCCTGCTAACATAACTGTACTTGCATTATCGATCTGTAAATTTGCATAGTCACACAAATACCCTCACAATTTTTGAAAGATGCTACCTTACCTTTTTAATTCTCATTCACACCTAAAAATCTGCAGAGTCAGAATTGGACCATTCAGTTTCTTGAGACAGCCACTAAGAAAACACTTCGCCAAGTGACCTTTCCCAAATGCCAAAGCCACTTCTTATTCCCTATAGTGTAGGATACATGTTAGGGCTGCAAGACAATAGTGCATATGGATAGTTGGATACATGAAAAATTTGATAATTCAAAAATATCTATTGAAAAAAATTACAATGAGCATTTAGTTTATATTAAGTACTTGAAAATGTGTGCTACAGTGTGGCTCAGTGGTTAGAGCTGCACATCATATGAAGGGCATACTGGTCACCTCAATATTGAGGTTTCCAACATAGAGCGTTCCATATCTCTACCCCTCCCTATCAAGTCAGTCCCTGTTTTCTCCCATATTTCCTGTTTTATTGTTCTGCCAGAAAATACAATGCTTTATTCTTTATTCTGGATCTCCATTAGTTATTGCCACAACCATAACTATTTTTTCTGGGTGCCACATAAAGCACGTAGACAAATACATTTAAAAGTACACAAAATATTTACATTCTGTTAGTAAAAACAAAACATATAATATGTATACACTTAATTCTCAAACTAATATTTTACATATGCAGTTACCATTCTCAAAATCTCCAAGAGCACTGATGTGTATTTTAGGTCAGTTTTGGCATTTTGATGACTAACAAATAAGCACAAAATAAATGCAGTAGTCAAAGGAAGAGCAACATAAGTGGAAGATTAGTTTTTTGGGTTTTTTTTGGGTAAAGCCACATTCTTGTTCTTTGTCTTCCATCTACTCTAGGGTAGTTATTTTGCCTGATGAAGCTGTGTTTGGGTTAATCTCCCTCTCTTCTCAATTCTGTCCTCTAGCTCACCCTCCCATCTCCCACACAAACACAACTTTTCTCTTTTAATTATGCTTTTCATGTGAGGCTGCAGTCACAGGAGCAGCCTGGAGCAAAGCAGCAACACAATTATACCTGCAAGGAGTGAAAGTCTGTGTCTGTGTGAACATGTGTGTGTGTGTGTGTGTGTGTGTGGATGTCAATCTACCAGCA